CTTTACATGGTTTATCACACGCGTGGGGATTCCTGAACAATCGTTTATTGTACTTGTAATTGACAGAGTAATACAATTGCAGCGTCATAATCACGTGAAATTCATATGTAATATGTTTCTTTTAAAAGTGATCTGATAATAAACTGCCAGTATTTATTAAACAACTATATTATTCAATATTTATTAGTGGCAATCGCTGGGGGAGCCCTACGTGCAGCAATGGATGACTTAAGGCTGGTAATGATGATTGTGCTCTTACACTAATGCGTTTGTTGATGTATCTCTGATAAATATATCTTACTAATCTTACTAATATTATAAAAGCGAAAGTTTAGATGGATGGATGGATAGATGTTTGTTAGCGTTTGTAGCCTAAACGGCTGAACGGATCTCTATGAAATTTGGCACAGGTTTAGAGCATAGTCTGGAAGAACACATAGGCTACTATTTATCCCGGGAATAGTTACGGTTCCCATGGGATTCATTAATTCAGTTTTTTAATGTTTACTCGACCATTCTGCAACGGTTCAACATATCTTATTGAAATTTGGCACAGATGTAAAACAAAGTCTGAAGTATACATGAGATAAGCTTCATCCACGAGGTGTCCGGTTCCCCAGGGATACGTAACTTTTTGTAATATATATAGTTCGTATGTTTCTAATACCACGCGGTAGAAGTCGCGGACAACAACTCGTTTAAAATAAAGTACAAATTGAACCGTGATACAGAATTCATTTTAAGAAAATAATGTAACCTAATTAAAGCACATAAATCGTACACATATCAGTTGTTTGCTGTAGAATTTTCTGTCTGGTCATAATAAATGATTTCCCGACTTTGTTTTAAGATTAAAGTATTTTCAAATGTTAAATTTTAGTTATTATTTGTATTAACACCGATATGTATATAAATTTTAACCTCTTTCACATATATTACAAGAAATAAGGAAAAAATATCAATTAGTAATTGGTAAGGAAAGTCCTAAAGGCAATTTTCCTTATAAGTCTCTAATTTACAGAAAGCATGGATGATATGTGTGAAAGATATGGTAGGTAAGGGATGTGGGTTATGTGGCAGCTGATAGGAGACGTACGGAAGAGTATATATGTACTTATTAGACCCTCCGTAGGAAAAAAGGCTGGCTGATGACTAAAGGCAACAGTTCTTATCAACTGGAATAGATGTAAAATATGAAAATGCACACAATGCTTGCTTGATCAGGGGAACGGTCGGTAAATAAGCCATGTTTTTGTTTCATACCTGCAATGTCATTCACTTTGAACTTCACATAGGACGATGAACTTGAAGACTTATCGATTCATATGTAAATGACGTTGTAAGTCAATAGGCAGAATTTACATAAATATTATCTTTACAAGAGGTTTAATTATGATTTGTAATTAATCCTCTTGTATATTGTAAAGTGTGTGTAAGAGACGGTAATTTCAAACAGAAGGAATTATAACTATACTAACATTATCAATCAGAAAATTATTATGTACAAAGAAATAATCAAGTTATTTTGTTTGTGTAACAACATACAATAGTTATATTGAAAAGCCATATCAAAACCCTTTTAACTTGTAGTGATTGGTTTTCAATGTGTATGTATGTTGGTTGACACGAGTAAACACAGTCAGATTCATTCAATCAACCAATCTTTTAACATTGAATCCTTTGATAACAGAGATTGGAAAACTGCCGATTTCAATCACTCAGAGCAACCATATGAATAGAAATCGTTTAAGTTAAAGGAATCTTTCAATTTATTTGATTATATAAGATGTCTTTTAATAGAGAAAATACTAGTTTTAGTCCAAAATCACAATTTTTTCACAATAATTCTACGTCATAAGATCCCTTGACATTTGATCACACACGTTTTAAGGCACTAATAAGGCAAAAATGTTTAGTTTACGTACAAAAGATGCAGATAATATTAGGCGACTAAATGCAAATTATGACAGCTTTAAATGTTCATTATCACTAAGATACTTTTGTACCAAGGATAGATATCAAATGTGTTGAGAATCGTTTAAGTCGTGAGTGATATCGAAACGAACTGGATTAAAGTGAAGGTAAGAGATTGGTTGTTGAACAAGAAGGCAATGACGTAAAGCGACCGTGCACTTGATGGTATAGTAATACACTACCCTTTAATATATTAAACTTCGGTAGTGACGCAAAGAGAACAATCAATATTGTTTCACGTAAAATATTCATCAGACACATTTGTGAACACTGTTTATTCAACTACAGGCGTGTCGAGAACATGCATATCTACATTTCAATTATTTTTTTCAATTCAGCATGTTTAATGTTTTCTCCATACATATGTCTTCTGTTGTACGTAAATAATGGATTAAAAACTTATTAAAATAGTATAAATTAGATTCCAGTTGTATTGGATTTTTCGTATAGTAAAATAGTAAGCGTCATACAACTTAATAGTCGCACATTGGTCAAATTCACAATCAAGAATTTTAATCTTGATAAAAATGGCTTTATGCATTTTTATATTAACTTTAACTATGTCAACTTTGACGTCCCTCCATTCATAAAAAATCCTTAAAAAAGGGTACAACGTTCTCCATAAGTTATTAGTAGTTATTCACAGTATAATATCTGTTGCGTAGTCATCGTCGATCGTTGGTGACGTTTGTAGAGATTACTAACATACGTAGGGCCAACGCCCACAACCGCACCCACTGTGGTGATTGATGACCCAATTGAACATCACAACGCGCCTACAGACCAGGGCTACCTTTTTCTCCAGGATTATAAAGGAATTACCTATTTATAAAAGGATCACAATATGATTTGGCTAGATCCTGGAGTAAAGGATAAATATAACATACAAAACATGTAAGGTCATATCGTAATGTTTTTTTTTAATAACACAAAAAGGACTTTGAACCTACTCCCAGAAGCAATACGTCTCAATGTCGACTAGTCTAGTGTGAGAACAATTCTTTGCGTATTTATCGATGATTTTGCTCATCGTTATTCATATAGGCTCATCAATTCCACCTGTAGTCTATTAGGAAAATAATGGAAAAAGTCGTAAAACCACGTACCCAAATTACAACGCGACCTTCGCAGCACAAATTGCTGAACGTATAATTACATAACACGGCGGTAATAACCCAAGTATAAAAAGTATTTTAAGAATACAGTCGCTACACGTCTAGCAAAAGTAATACTGGAAGATATTAGGAGTGAAAATAATATAGGTAATGAAAAATTCATGACAACACCATAATCGAGTACAATTGAGTTTTAGAAGAGATAACGTTCACGAACAATATGTCTATGAATATGTTCACATCTCCCAAACACACTAAACAGAATGCGGACCGTTTAAGAAATAGATTTCTTGGTCTATTGTTGCAAGATTTTTAGGAATTGTGGCTTATTTTTAGCCGTGTGTGGAAAATGAAGATGATTATCAGTTTAGCTTATTCAACACGTTATTTGACTTAGCATTGTGACTCAAGAATACATAAGAAACAAACAGAATAAAGTGATTTCGTATTTTATTTCAAGATAAAAAAGCAATTCATCTTCTACCACGAAATAGTTCTATCGTGTTAGGTAACTTGAATTATCTTTGCATATGTAAAAAAAAAAACAATATTACGTTTATCATTTTATTTTAGTGATAACATTTGAATAGTGGCCCTATCTAAACCTCTTTAATATAAACAGCTACGCGTATATACCAAATCTTGGCAGAAGTTTCTAGAAGTTTTTGGTCAACATTAGGTTTTAATTACAAAGTAAGTAAATTAAATATTATTTCATTTATTTGCGTAGTATACGTGTTACAAAGAAATAAGAAAATGCCGAGATAACTAGATAAATCCATCAAGAAAACATCGTGTAGTTCCGTATTCGTTTTTTGAGTTAATTTTTTAAATGTTTTTTGTTTTACTTGTAATCAACCTTTTGTTAGAGTGCTAGTTTTTTTAAAATCCACAAGAACTTGATCTTGAGTAATTTACAGTTGTTTTTCATGAATCTGAACGTAGCTGTTATATAAAAATAACGACACGATAGCCCCATCACATAAAAGATGTAAGTAAAAGATAAATAAAAGATATTTGTACTAGAATTTACAATCAAATACTCATAGGTACATCACGGATGGATCCCTGTTTGTAAGTAGAACATCATACTTGCGTTTCTACGAGACTTGGCAAGTACGTAAGTAGTCAAGGGACATAACACCAATATCCATATTAAACTAAAAAACAATGACAACCCTACAAAAAAGTCTGGTTTGCTAAACCGTCACGAGGACATTCTATTGAGTGCCGTCAATCCTAATATCCTGGATGAGCAGCGTGTGGATTGCAATTGAACAAAACATCCATTATCCCGAGACGAGTCGCATTTGTTTACGCTAACAAGGCGCAGTATAATCCAGTAATTTCTAGAAAATTGCAACAAACAACTCATTGAATATTCATCGAATTGCCTATTTCAATGGATATATTAAAATGAATTAAACATCTCAATAATAAATAATTTGCGAAGTATCAGTAATAATCATTCCTGGACGAAAAATATTTGATTATGCATTTAGCAGCTAATTGGCTAACATAATTCGTAATAACATTTTCTGTCCATTGGTAGTAAAACATTCGCGTCTAAAACAATTTACAACTCGTTAAGCAATTATTAAATTACCTTTATAAGGATGTATCATACGTTAATCAAGGTAAATCGTTTACTTTTCTCTTACTATCTCTATTCATGCAAAAACTATGATCGTTTAAACAAATAATGACTAAGTGCTCGGGGTCAGAAAGATCATACAATACACAGCCCTTGTTGCCTTGTGTATTTAATAAATTATTATTAAAAATGTTATAATTGTAGGCTTCTACAACCAATACAAATCCAGAAAAACATGTTGTCATGCCTTTCATTCTAATTTTAAAAGAAACCTTTCAGACATCGAGCATAGTAAATACCGATTAAACAGTACTTACCGTGGAATGTCTCCAGAAATGTATGAGAGCATGAATATCGGTCGCGGGCGCAAGCAACAGGTAATCACGCCACTCATCATAGCTAATGTTCAGGCTGCCGTCCTGGTCCATCCTGCACAAAAAACAACGTATTAAAATCATCAAGTGAAGTGACGTAAAATTCTACAACTATGTGATGCAAACTCAGAAATTTTTCCAACAGACCTAATTTAAAAACATCTATAATATAAATTTAACATTATATGGTCTGTGTGCCTACCTTAAAATTAACTAACAACACAAAAATTCGCTCCAATAACGATAAAACAGGTGTTTATTGATCAGAATGGAATCGACAAGTGAACATCCTTCAGGCAGAATAACTAACTATCCTCAGAACTCATAATAAGTCATAATGTAATTTCTTCAATTTATGGTAAATATGTGTATGTTAAAACTTTGAGTATTCCAGACCATTCATTCAAAATTAATACTGGCTCGCAATGTCTTCGATACACTGCGTACATCTGCGTTGGACCGACCAATAAAGACTTAAATTCGTAACTAACTCCGAGCCTCTATAAAGTTTGAATCTTGTAATATCCAATGAACTTGATCTTTTATTTTTTCAGTGTCGTACTGCCGTATTATGATTATATGTCCTTGTACTGTCAATCATTTTATATTTTGAGACTAATATATTTCACTATCCGACGTCTTAAAACTCGATCCGTCATTCCATGTCGACAAACGAATGACAAATTCGTTAGATATACGAAATATGCAAAGAATTAAATTGTTAACCAATAAAGTGGGTGCCCCAAAGTTTTACAAAAATTATATCTAATATAAATAAAATGAAATTCCGATAAAACGATGTATTTCCAAGCAAGTGGTATACTTTTTAGTTAATTTTAATTATTAATTCTATTAGCTTTTTCTAATTCTTCTAGATTTCGAAAAAAAAACTATCTTACGATAAGATTACAACATTCCTAGAGTTTTCGTTTGATATGTCTTTATTTTATTTAATACTAGCGTTCGCCCGCGACTCCGTCCGCGCGGAGTTCTAAAAGACAAAAGTTAGTAGCGTTTGTGTGTTCTTCCAAATTATCCTTTAAGTCTATGCCAAAATTCATCGAGATCCGTTCAGCCGTTTAGACTACAAACTTTAACAAACATCCATCCATCCATCCATCTAAACTTTCGCATTTGTAATAGTAGTAAGAAGTAAGACTAGCTTTCGCCTATGACCCCATCCGCGTCGAAATAAAAAAAGCCAGTAACCTACATGTTCTTCCAGGCTATCCTCTGTATTTATGCCAAATTTCATAGAGATCTGTTCAGCAGTTGAGGCTACAAACTCTAACAAACATCAGTCTAAACTTACGCATTTATAATATTTATACGTATTATGATATAATATCGATTCATAGACATTTGAAAAAAATAATATGTTTTGTCCTAAACTACGAAAAAATTAACATTAGTAAAAGTTTAGTTAAGTAGACACCATTCAGCATCTACCACTGTGAATAATAACTTTAACTGATATTACCTACATGCGTTTCCAATAAAAATGAATTAGGAAAAACGAACAAACAGTCACAAATATATGATATAACAAAAATAGTAAGAAACAAACATATCGAGAATCTCCTTCCTTTTGAAGACAGTGAAAATACTTAGGTAACTAACCTAATTTAACCCTGTTCCCAATAACCATTGTAAGGCAGCACATCAACATATTAACTTCTAGTTATGATGCTTGTCTATTGCCCATTACTAATATAAAACACACATGTCATTTGTTAAGAAATTAAGTACTCAATACTAGAGTAATTCAATAAACTTGTATTCCAAAATGAAGCAGAGAAAAAGACAAATGCATTTGCTTGAACTTCCTTAATCATACATATCATGGTAATAAAATTAATAATAAATAATCCACAATGTCTACTAATCTTATGGATTCCATGTGAAAAGACCATATAAATATATGTCTTTTCTCTTCATGCCCTTATAACTATGTTAACATGTGTGCATTTATCATTTCCTCAAAGTCAGGGATTCCAAACACAACGAACTTATCAATATATAGTCATCTCACTCATAGCCTTTGAAAAAACAGAGAAAACATTATTTATGTTGTTGGAGTAAAAAACTACAAAGGACAACACACTGGGCTATACATAGATTTTAGGTGTATAAAAATATATAAAGCATTTTACATTGCATCAAATATATTATTAACATTTTCTCAAGAAAAAACTACATTAACATTGTCAACAATTTTACAAGTTCCTAGTTAAAAAATAATTCTCATCCGTATTCAAGGTTTTCCCAATAATTATCTAGTTCATTAGATTCATTGAATAATTCATATTAACTAACTGCACACATACAAATGCTGCACAGATACAAATACATACAAATAAATAAAAATATTTGAATCAGACCATCGGTGTTATAAATAACATTTCTACGAAAATCGCAATATAACTATGACTTGTTCTTATATACGTTGAAAAATAAAAACAATGTCAAGAATCCCAATAATATAATTGATATAAAATATTTATAAGTGAGCAAAAGTTCCATTAAACAAATTTTTTTAATGTTTTAGAACACACCTCTCGAAGCCTCAAAACATACTACCAAAGTTTAAGTCTATATTTTATTTTAATATTATACTTTTACTTTACATTTAACTATAGATATGCTTTCTATTATAATCAAAGAAAAGATACTTATAAATCATCCCATGGTGGGTTATATTATTTTTTGTAGTAAATTTGATCTACTATAAAGACAAGCAACATGCTGTATGCCTTATAATAAATGTTACCAAGCAATTCAATAGCCATTGATAATTTTTTTCAATAGTTGGCACATTAGACACAATAATTACCTCTTTAAGAGATTTGTTGCCTCATTTCTTCCAATTGCTATACCCAGATCCGCAAACGCCGATATAAGTTCCTCCAGATCAACTTTTCCTGAAAAAGATACATTTTTATGAGATTACTAACAAAACTATGTATTTTCAAAATATCACTTATGACTATCATGCATCATGACCTTGGCTCGCAAGAAAAGATAATATATTCCATATTCTGAATTCCGAGAAAATAATGAATACAAAGTGAGCATTAAATTTATTATCATCATTAGTAAATTGGCCATTATTTCGCAATGTAAATGTAACAACATTAATTTGTATTGCCTTATAGTAAGTATTTAGAGAAATTAATAATTTGTTTACATGAAACTACTTATTACTTTTGTAAAAAGTTCATTAAATATAACATCTGGTATGAAAAAGTGAGAGAGAAATGGTCAATAGTATATGAAAGGGTCATGTAAAAGGGAGCAAAAGCATCTCTAACATCTGTAAGAGTAGCACAGCACCCATTAATTAGGCACATTTGGAGACAAGTATGCTTATTTCCAACTGATCAAATGCCAGTAACATGCTTGATTTTTTATTTCGTACAGAAGAGAACACTTGTCCCGCAACAAGCCAAACAAAAATGTGGCAATTAACTAGTCTTATATAGGAAAAAGGGCATGAGGATGATGAATATTAATGGCTCACCATCTTTATTTTTATCGAGATGTGAGAACTGCAGCCTAAGATTCTTCTCATGTTCACGCACATAATGTATGAACTCGGAGAGTGTAACATCGCCTGCTTCCTTCCATCCTGACTTGGCTATAAATTTCTGCAAAAAACAACTTATTCTTAAAATTAAGTGTAAAACATGTAATAAAATAAGTGTAAACAGTACAATCATATGTATAAACCATCATAAGACCAGTCGTATTGTATGGATCTGAATGTTGAGCCACCAAAGTAGCGGATGAAAATTGATTGCATGTGGCTGAGATGCATATGTTAAGTTGGATGTGTGGTGTGACAAAAAAGGATAAAGATAAGAGTGTGTATGTTAGAGGAATTTTGAAAGTAGCGCCAGTAGTGGAGAAATTGAGAAGCAAAAGGTAAGCATGGTATGAACATCTTATATGACGAGATGATGGGGACATAAACCAGAAAGTGTTAAGAATTAAAGTGGATGGCTATAAAGGAAAAGGATGACCGAAGAAAGTATGGATGGATTATGTCAAAGAGGATATGCTTAAAAGGGGAGTGGATTCAGATATGACGGCTGATAGAAATGTATGGAAGAGCAGGACATACTGTGCGCACCCTCTGTAAGCGATGAAGGCTAGTTGATGATGTATAAACAGTACAAATAACATGGACTAATTGTGGTACACAAAAGAGTTGATTATAAAACTAAACTGAAGTTTATTGAATTTCAGCAATTACATTAATTTCATTTATCTTTTTGGAAGACCCCAAGAAACTGTCATCATCAAGCAAACATTAGGCCAAACACAATAAGGGAAAATGGTAATAAACAGGGATATTTGCCTTGTTTTTTCTTTGCAATGGTGACAATTCATTTAATGCAAACAGAGCCCAAGTATCCATCGCTAGGCATTCTTAAAGTTCATACTAGTACAGATTTTTTGTTTAAACATGTATGCCTTTATTAGGTTAAGTGTAAGTAATGAAATGAAAACCTCTACACACTTTACTATTTTAGGCATCAGTTTCACATGTCTTTTAAATTCCTAATTTATATTATTGGTAAAAAAAAATACCTTATAAATTTGTTAAACCTGTCTTCATTAGCCAAAGCCAAGTACAAAATATTTTATATTTGCAAAATTATTGTATGTCACTTTAATTTAATCACATACATTGTCTACCATGAGGAACTGCTATTTGCAAAATTCTCCAGTAGAAATTAAAGTCCACACAACAGAAAAAAGATTTATATAACCAATGAAGATTTACATAATCTTAGGAAATGTTAATCTGAAAGATTTGGCATTACAATGACAGGGGTATATTTTTATCATGTAAAGCATGAAATACTATTCAGCCAGAGAGAAAAGAAATTACTCTTTTGAAATTATGTGAAAACCATATTAAAGAGCAGGAGAGAATAAAACGAGTATTAGATATTTTGTTTTAAGATTGTTATTGATTAAAAATTGTATCACGAATGCATTTTATCTAATAAACATTTATCACGTGTCTAAGATAAAACTTGAAAACTTCGTTTATTTTAATATCGTAACTCGAAAAAAATGTAAAACACAGTTTTTGAACAATACAATAAGTTAAATTAACTTGCTTACGTAATTAACTAAAAATTAATAAAGTTAACTTTAAAAAGGAATTACAAAGTTTTAAGTTTGTGTGACTTTTGTATTTCGTAAAAATCTACTTTGAATAATGATAATTAATTAATACTATGAAATTGCAGTTTAAATGAATCATACAATTTGTAGTCACTTCCCAAAGAATGGAAAGGCCAACTCACCGTTAGTTTTATTACATCGTAAGAAAATTCAAAGTTCTAACCTCTGCATAGCTTCGATTGATGTGTGGTGCAAGTTCCTTTAGGGCGACAGACAAATCGTGGATATCAATTTTACCATTTCCATCGTTGTCTAATTTAGAAAATAATTTTTCTAATCTTTCTTCGTCTTCTTTTGGCAATTCTTCCAGCTCCAACGGCGGATGACACTGCACCATGGTGTCGGTAGTGAGCATAAACGCTATTTGTTAAGCACCAGGATAATTTAGTTGTATACGAATTCGCCCAGGCATACATCACTTTTAAATTAATAAGATTATGTGACAAGAATCATTTTCGAACAATTTACACTCGACTCTCATACAAGTCGGAATTTGACAGGTACTTGCTTGCTCCTCGCTAGCTGGCGCAATACAAAACTATGTGTGAGTGCGTGAGCTCACCAACTGAAGTCACACAGTGACATTTTCTTTACAGAATACGGCACTGCGCTGCATTTTCTAGGCCATTTGCTTGCCAACACCATCTGTCGCCAAAAAAACTAAACATTAATAAGGACAGTATACACACTATACATTTTTAGAAATATATTTAATCAACTAATAACAATAATATTTTCATTTCAAAGTAAGTTTAGTTACCCACTTTTAGGGTCATATAATATTGTATTGTATTGAAGTAAAGTGATTTACTTCCGTAACGGTAAAAAAAATATTGCCGAATAGTTTTCTAAGCAAGTTTTGGACATTAACAACTTTTTACTTTATGAGATAGATGGAGCTACTAAACTACTAACGTTGGTTATGTTTTAACAAATAAATAATTAAAGATAAATGTGTCCATAGCGCAACTACATTTACTAATTACTTTAAATAAGATATGTATAGAAAGAACAGCATATTATTACTGTGGCTATGTCCACTTGGTAATTTATTACTGTAATAGTCATAGCAACCGATGACAAAGAAATATAGTTTAGGAAGGTAAAAAATGTAGAAAGTGACAACATGAATATATTAATACATTTTTTTAATACTTTTTGCACAAATGTTACAACAAGTTTACTAAAACTAAGCTCCTAAAATTTGCGCCAGGGCGGCCTTATTTCTATGATATTACAAATTTTGGGGTATGCCTTAATCAAATTTAAATAATTGTTGTTACACTACGTTTATTTTAATTATAGAAGTACAGAGTATTTTACACAAATACAAATTCATCGGTACTAGTAATTTCTCATAGAGGAGGGAATCCAAAACAGTTTTTTTAACCGCGACATTGCGCATTATTATCTAGGCCATCTGACTTCCAACGCCATCTATTGTGCAAAAAAACTGTTGGCAGTTGTGTGTAATATTTTTTGTACCTACCGAATTTATGCGTCTAGTCTGGAATGTTACGTCCAAAATTAATTTAGGTGCTTACATAATGTCTGAGTATGATCAAAACATTTGAATATCCGAGGTAAAGCTGATGTAGCTTGAAAAATACCATAAATTTTGTGTAGGAATAAGATAATAATAAAATAAGGCATTCCTTATTAGGTAACCAGCTCTTCTTATGGATACACCTATAGAGTCACTCTTTATTAGTTACATATTATCTAACTAATGTTATAGATGCGAAAGTTGGAAGATGGATGGATGGATGTTTGTTAGAGTTTGTAGCCTGCTAAACGGATCTCGATGAAATTTGGCACAAATATCGAGGATAGTCTAGAAGATCAATAAGGCAACTTGCTTTTTTTAAATTTACTTAGACGAAGTCGCGGGCGAAAGCTAGTTCTTTATAATTTGTATGTCTCGTGGTGTAATATCTAAAACATACTGTACGTCGAGTATAAAGAAGTTAGTAGTAGTAAAATAGACTTAAAATAAATCCGAACAAAAATAAAGAAGCCATAAGAAGGATATTGAACTACGATATTGTGGTCCAATGTCAATGTATTGTATCTAAGTACACATCATGATGCATGCAATTTTATTGTTGTCTATACTAATATTATAAAGAGGAAAGATTTTTATTTTTGTATGTAATGAAATAGCTCAAAAACTAATGGACTCATTTCACAAATTCTATTGCCATTAAAAAACTACGTTATCAGTGAGTAACATAGGCTATTTTTTTTTTACTTTTTTAATTTCACGGCGACGAAGTCGAGAGGAAACAGCTAGTAGATGTATAAAGATGTACCAATATTATAAACTTATAGGTAATCTTTCAGAGGTTTGACTAAATACTCTAGAGAAATAAGAAAGGAGATAGATGTCCTACAATCGCGCCAAAATTTATTTTTTAATGGTGTATACCAAATCTCTCAACTTGACTCATTTGTTTTTGAGTATGATATTAAGAATTATTGATTTTTATCAATAAACTAAAAGTACTCACGTGATTCTTTTATAATTTCAGTACTTACCCTGAATTCATTATTAAAAGTTATAATAAAGGAAGGCATAGGCTAAATCGCAAATATTTATGTCACTTTCATTTTTGGCGATTTCAATGACTCGTGCATTACGAAAATTTTACAATATAGGGTATATATAGTATGATATAAAATAATTTAAAACATGTTTGTTTAGTATTTGCCTTTTGACAATTGTGAAGTTTTTGACATACAATCAGTAATATAGTCCGACAAGTAATTTTGCCGGTCCCGCCGGGTTAAACTAAATTATAATAGCTCACTAGCGCCCTCGTTAATCCATTTACTATATCCATGTAGGTTTTACATTTTTTCTGACAGAATCGACTGATATCATCCTCTCACCGGGCTAGGCATCCATGTTGGACTATAATTCATTACAGCAGGCTTGTATTAAAAAACTTATACAAAAACGCATTGTGTTTGACCATTTGTTTCAGCAATACAAACACAAGGTACCTATATTCACAGATAAGTACTTGGCCTATCGAAAGAAGTACTGCTATCGGGGCTAGATGATGATGATAAAATGACAAACATCACAAGATATAATAGACTAGATAATTTGGTATCAATTTTTCCCACCGGACCAGTTTTGTACCGTAATAATTTTCTTACTTGTCATTTGTATAAATATTAACTAGCATATGAACTAACAGTTCTCATTTAAATGCACCAGAATCACTAAGGTATCTAAAACTGTTGCTGAATACACCCTTGATTTCTGCTCTGAAAATACCCTACTTAGTTATCTGGATCACTATAATTCCTATGAATTAATATCACAAATATGATACTTACATTTTTATTGATACTTTTAAATCTACTTATAGCTATAGTATGGAAAATGATAAATCTAAGGAGCTTTCCAATTGATTGTATGGCGTTCATTTATTTTTCCACGCAATGTTCGATGACTATCAATCATCATTAACAATAAATAGTTTCTCAATTGATACGAGAATGTAATAAAGTTTTATAAACGTGCGTTTCGTCTGTACAGTGTAATACTTACTGATATTATAAATGTGAAAGTTTAGAAGGATAGATGGAAGGATGTTTGTTAGTGTAGCCTAAACTGCTGCACGCATTTCAAGAAATTATGACATAGATGTAGAGGATCGTCTGAAAGAACACATAAGCACCATGGTTTAGCTTTTTTTAATACTACATGAACGGAGGCGATAGCTAGTAAATAATATTTTTGTCATCGTTCTGTTTGACAAAAGAGTGACCTCAACAATAATCAAAGTCCTACTCATGTAGGGTCGGCACAACTGGTTTTTGTTCTCCATATAACTTTATCATCCGTCATCTCAGTCATCATCATCACTCCTTTATCATGTCACCTTTCACACAATTCGTCTATCGTTTTTAGTAATAGTAATTAATAAATCGAGTTTTTTGTATTTCCATATGTGGCAATAAAAGTTTTTTTATTCTATTAAACTATATTTTCTAGTAGCCACGATTGGACCTAATCAGAGGCAATTTTCTTTATTCAACTCGCGTAATTGTGCATGCAATAAAAGTACTCATTGTAGTAATTTATAATGGACTGTTGCAGTTTTGTAGCCAATCGCTTAATGTTCGACGTAAGTTATGTAAGACACGAACACTGCGATAATTGTCGCTACAATATACCAGTTTAAGCGTATTTTAATGTTTTGTTATTTTCTTTTTTTACCAATAATTTGTAAATGAATCGGTAAGGAAGTCATTTTTCTTTCAACCTACAAACGTTTGCAACTACAAGTCGACACAGAGCTCAGGGATTTCTCTTTGTATAATTCAATTCTATTAAGACACAGTAGACTCTAAGTACGCATTAAATTTCATCATAAGTCCTATATTTAAGCGTGAATCGTTCATAAACAGACAATATCATCGTGATACAATAAAGTCACATTGTGATATAACATTATCACGTCCCTCGAGCCCAACGATGTGACACACGCATAAAAGACTGACACCCTTTTGTACTTCATTAAATTCACTCAATAACAGAACCATATTTCGCTAAGTAGGCCTTTCATATCCACATAATTCTTTGTGCTATCTCTTTTACGCGGCAAAGATTTATCACGTTAGACTGAGAAGAAAGATATTTGTCAAAAATACGAGGTTACTTTCATCGGTTTTCAACCAATAAACTCTGGGGATGGCATCTCTATTATGTCAAAATGACAATACACAAATTGACGTGACCGAAATACTATAAACTTTAAAAGTTAATACAAAATCCCTTTTAGAAATCATATTCATTGAAAAATCAACCAAATGAATACTTTCAACACAGATGAATATTCTTTATTGAAGTCGATAAATTTAAGTGTTCCTAATATTGCACCCTATTGCATTTGGTATTGAGTACAAATTCAAATGAATAAACATTTGGCATTGTTGATGAATTTGACTGGAGCAAAAAAACAGTTGAAAGGGAGTGAACAAAAGCGCATAAAAGTGGAGATTAATCGGGGATTTAGACACAATATAGACGAAGCGCACACATGTCACCAGAGAAGAGTCGATCTCCCTTCTGCGTCCCTTATCGTTCACATCAAAAGGTTAGTAGGGTATATTAATTCACAAAACACAATACGCGGTATCATCTGTAAGCAGAGCAAAGTCAACAATTACAGCTGCAAAATTATTTTAAATTATTAACAATTTTACTTCAATTAAAACAAATTATTATCGATGACTAGTTGTGATGTAACTCATACTTGTAATTTTTATAACTAGTTGTCTTGGCTTCCTATCTCATGGAAAACAATATGGCAGTTAGAGGAAACTGCGAAGAAAAATAATGAATACATTATTTGTTTTATTTATTCCCTGCAAAAGGTTGGATTTTGCGCGTTGATGGAAATTGAGAACGCATGCGCTAATCTTGGTAACATCAAACATTCCTTTAGTTGAGCGTTAAGCTATGTTATTGTTGTTTGCAATAGGTTGTAATTTATTTGGCATTCATTTTCGCGGACTTACAGCACACGTAAGGAGCTCTTCTGCTATCCTAGTATCAGGAGAAAAAAATCGGACGTAGGCGTACAAGGCCTTTTTAATATACATGTATTTTCTGGTGGTTTCGTTGTTTTTATTGTTAAATAATAATAAAAAAATCCTACTTATTTTCGTTCCTAAACTACGTTTTTTTGTTTAAATCTAAATAACTTTTGATAGCCACAAGTGGCTTAGAAAAACCAATGTGCTTCTCGGGGAAAGATAGATTCATGTGAGATTTATCACGCTAAAACCACGTTAGTCGGTATTTATTGTTAAATTTGACTCTACTACTACTCTATGTGAACCAGGGTTAACAGAGGCTGTCATCATGAATTGGAAATTTATAATAAGACAGCTATTTAATTCACTTTTTATGAAGCTTCTATATAAAACATTGTTCGTAACATTTTCATTCCATATGTCCTCTCCATAAGTCATTAACCTAAGTAGCATGCAACTTATGTATTTATGAAGACAGCAAAATACATAGATATTTCTACTCTTGACAATGACATAGTCTCGCATCTATATTAACACTAACGTGTTGCTAAGCATTTTTCTTGTTAGACTTATTTACAGTAGACAACAGCCAGCAACGCCGCACTAGGGTTTCCCAGTTATAAAATCCGTATCCGTTCTAGTGCACAAAGACTAGGTTAAAAGAGATTTACTGTTAAGACTGTTAACTGTTATTAAACGCGTAACAATAACTAAATTCCAGGATTATCATTATGCAAAGCAATATTATATAGCCCTTATGACATTAATAATGTTATTCCAACAAATTTATATCGGTTTAACTTTGTTAATTAAGGGCGGAGTACCGAATTAAAAGCAACTGAATCTGGGAAGCATGTATACGAAGATAATGTTGAAATGGCAAGAGACTACTGTGGCTAGCTCTCTGGTTTTAAGCGTGAGTACTGTTTTTATTGTCTAATAATAGATTTGTTTAATTGAAGTGGAAAATTACGCAAACCGACTTTTGTCCGACATTTGTTCGATCATTACGTGGACTGCTTCAAACGGTGGAACAATCATATTCATCGGCTACTTCTAGCTTCGTTGTTAGTATGTGTGTTCAATCTGCTTAGATTTGTGACTTTTTATCTGAATTGGTGTTTTTCATATCTCGAATTCGTGATCCATGGTCGGTATGTAGATCTCTTTTGAACAATGCTATTGAAAAAATTATTATATTAACTATATTTTTGTATTTAACCTGATAAAAGTTAGCTAAAAAAGAATTAAAAGACGTCAGTGTGTTAAAAATATGTAATTTAATTCGCACCAAAAGCTATTGCATTTAATAACAATAAATGTATGTAATGTCTTACATTAATGTCTTAAATAACTATAATTAATAATATTATATTTAAAAAAAAGTAAGTTCTGTTTTTTAATATAAAACTATAAGAAACATTGATAACATACTAGTATTATCTCATGTCACAAAAAAGAGAGAGTTAGGGCAATAGAATAACCGTAAAAAAGAAAATAGTTTTCCCATAAAACTAAACATAGCCGAGAAAGATAATCATGAAAGGAAAATAAGACACATAGAGTGAATATAAAATATGAATATGTCAAATACGATGTAAAAGAGTGAATAACAACATTTTCTATTTAACGTTTTTCATTTCATTAATCGTTTTGTAAGGAATAAGTACGTCACCATTACATGTCAACCTTAATGCCTTATTACCTTGCTTGTCGTAAAATTAGTTTTTTCATAAAAAGTCACGAGAAATTGTATTCATTTCATATAATACTGTTTTATAATTTTCATTCCCATCATCTCGCAAGCCTTCAAATACGCCTAGCTTAACAAATCAGATTAAAGCTATAAATTTTTTAAACTGTATCTTTTCCTGTCCTATACATGTCGCTTATTATCCTTTCTATCGGTATCTCCCCGATGGTGGCTCGAAAGAATAGTTCCACTATAGTCGAGCTATAAACTCCTCTTATAAGTGACAACAACTGTAGGAGACGGCTGCATCGAGACGTCTCATGGGGATATATCCGAGCTGTGTGCTGAAACAACAAAGATGCTATTAATAAAGACCAGATATTTTTTCTACTTTTTAACAATAGTTATATGAACTTACTTCATTAAGAATAACTTGTGAATGTCCTTGAAAAGCAGCAATCGCTGGCAAATCTTGAAGCTTTCTGGTTTCTGAATTTGGTGAAGACGGGCTCCCATTACAGTTCTTAACGCCCAGTGAAGTTTTAAAAAGAACAATTGCTCGGAGACAAGAGTACTCGTTATTATCAGGGCGTATTTTTGCAAATTCTAATAAAACTCTGTTAAATTCTTCGACTTGTTTTACATCTAATCTTGGATTTTTTCCGTCGAATAATATTTTTAGATCAATGGGATATAGGAATTGTGAAGTGCCAATGACAAAGAGATCTCTCCACGTCTCTTCTAGTAGAAGTAATCTGTCGGAGAGGGAAAGAGATGTGAAGGCTGGAACATTCTTCGCCCATTTCACGTTCATAAACAGAAGTCGAGCGGCTGCTTCGCACATCGCTTCAGGCCGAGCGGGAGTTAGAAGTGAAATTGTGATAGGTGGCGGTGACGGTGCTTTAGGGCATGGTATAGATGAAAGCATGTTTATTCTATGATATGGATGAAAAGGACTTTGGAATAATCCCAACGGCGGCGGTGGTAGCGAACAGTGTTTAGGTAAGGCTAAATCTGGAGCTGGTGGAAGTGAAAAACTAACATCGGAAGGCGGCGCGGCAGGGTCTTTTAAAAATAATGCCATCTGTCTTCGTATTGTTGAGTTACGTGGGCCTCTTTCATGTTGAACAGCTGAAAAGAAAAATAATTGAATTATATTATAAGATGATTTTTTAAGTATACCCAATTTTACTTGACGCGTTTATACATCCATCAACTTTGGGCAAAAAGGCTTTCCTTGTGCGTACTGCAAGGGATTGGATCAAGATGCCGTCAATTTTTCCGACTAAATTTGATGTGGGGGCCTTCAAAAAAAGAGTAAACAGGGATTTACTAAATTAGAGTGTACCATTTTTCGACTACATCATCACTTCTATCAGGTGGGATCGCGATTAAACACTAGGTTAAGGAACATAAAAAAATCATAATACTCGTAGTTATAATTTTGTACTTACCATCTTTGTTCATCCCAGCGTCCAGGCATTTGGCTAGCCTGCATGCTCTGCACTGGTTGCGGTGCGCCTTGTCCACTAGACAAGCTCCCGGGCGTCGAGCCTTGCAGGCGTATTGCCGGTCCCTGCGTACAGATCTCTTGAAGAAGCCCGCACAGCCATCGCAAGCGAACACACCGTAATGTTTGCCTGATGAATGGTCGCGGCACACGGCGCACGGCACATCGTAAAGAATGCGACCTATACAAAAATATGCAGTTATTGACTACTGTAGTAGATTAACTTCTGGAGTCGCAAGTAAAATAAATATTTTAACTTAATCAGATACGATAAATTTTCCCTACATTTGCACTTTTAACCGTACAGTTCGAGTCTTGAGTCAAAATTGTCAGTTAGGACAGAGCGTCTGTAGCGGGCTTTAATACGGTAATATATCTACTAACTATAGTCGTTTGATTTGGCACATCAAACGGAAGAGTACGCTTATTTCAGAGGTGCCAAGTCAATTATCCGGTACTAGGAGTTAATAAACTTTAGGTAGCACTCGGCAACAATACTTAGCACAGTAAGCCCGCTACACGCCTTCTTTAATTTTATCAGCATAGTTTACAGACGCTAAGTTCTAAGTGAACAGTCGAACTGTTCAGTTGAAATTTTAGCTACACACGCATAGTTTTTAATGAACAACTTACTCTTCAGTTAAAACTGAGTGTATGCATCGGACTTTTAGTTTTAATTGTACAAAAGGTCTATCACAAAAATTCGTGTGACAGTTGCCAGGATGTATTCGTGAATGAATCGACAAAATTTGTATGATTGGTTGATGATAATCTAAATAAATACAAAAAAAAAAGACAAATTACGAATTAAGTTACGAAAACCATCTCAATGATATTCGTTATCTGTTCTTTATTTTTCAGTTTACATTTTGTAAATCGTATGTTACAAGATGAAAGTTAAGGTCCCTAATTATATTCTACGGAATCCGCTATAAAGATACTTGTAGTCTACGAGTCGTAGAGGGAGGATACTGTCTACGCAGGACGCTACGAGAGACATGCGCAGTAAGCATAGAAATGTAATAAGGTTGATATTTGTATAAAATTTCTACTTAACATTACTTCAGAGTCATGTTCTCCTAGTATTCGTGCGGGTAAAATTTCCATAATATAAATGAATATAATAAATACAATTTCTTCACTTTTATAAAGCAATTGTTTTTTTATCTTAAAGGGTTTTTAAAATTTAATAATCTATTCATTTTTTATATCATTTTCCATTTCAAAATTACAAAAAATTACGAAATTACAAAATATAACCTATTACGTTCTCCCTTTTTTTCAACCTATTACCAAAAGTATTAACTTAGTAGTAATCTACTTAATAACAGAAATCTACCGATGCGAGATTCCAAGTTTCTAAGCCCGGTAGCTTGTAAGCTGATTTTTCGATTACCCTTATTGTTTGTGTTCGCCATATTCTAAACTTCTAAACTATCAGTCCAATTTTATTCTACATTAAATTCTCCTGATAACAAACGCATTTATTTGGATAAGGATTAATATTGAAACCGATAAAAAAACGCTGCAAATAGCGTGAAGTTTTTAATTCACTTTGTAAACAAAAAAGTGGTTATTATAATAAAACTGTTAAAGATAGATAAATGCTATCTAATGCTAGAACTTTTTTAGATCTATAATTCTGTTATACATCATTTTTATATACCTCTAACGGTTTAGGCAGCGTTAGCCGAGGAATGTTAAAGTTTAGTGATTATTTAACGCTGGCGTCCAGAAACACGCTGTTTATTAATAGTTCCTGAACATTAGTAATAATAAAATATAGCCTATGTTACTCACAGATAAATTACCTTTCAGATGGTGAAAAATTTTCAAAATCGGTCCAGTAGTTTTTGAGTTATTTCAATACATACAAAAATACAAAGTTTTCCTCTTTATAATATTAGTATAGACAAAAGTAGCCTATGTGTTCTTTCAGACTATCCTCTACATCTATACCAAATTTCATCGAAATCCGTTTATCATAATGCGAAAGTTTAGATGGATGAATGTTTGTTATAGTTTGTAGCCTAAATGGTTACACGGGTATCGATAAAATTGGTAGTAAATTAATAGATGTAGTCTGGAAGAACACATAGGCTACATGCTTTTGTTTTTTTTTAATAACACGCGGACGAAGTCGCGGGCGAAAGCTAGTACATTATAATATTAATTGAATGCACTAATATTTATTAGGTATTTATCTATTTTTTATTTTTTGAATTATAAAATATCCCATATCTCTAAGTCATCATAAATAAGCATTGCTATCGCTTCGTGACATGCTTCTCCATGCGATGAAGGGATAGCAATGCACCTCGACTGCCAAGTATTCAAACAAAATGGCCTCAGGATAATACATCGCAGTGGGCATGCGCGGTACGGCCTTTTACCGAGATACCTCGAAAGGGCTTTAATGTTACAGCGATAAGGGTGTACATTGTCAGGCATGACCAATAACAAACTTCAGCATGGTTCTGATATCCTAGTACTATTGCGGGTAAACATTGATCGGTTACGGATATGTCGCATCCTAATAGCCAGACAAAACAAAAAATGACAGAAGAAAGAAAGTAATTTTTGCAAAAGATCAATACTTATTCCTTTGTTTTCAATTAAAAGTAAAATTGTGAATTTATTTTCGTATTGTACAAAAGACCGTTTTTACTCATATTAATTGAAGTAAATTACTCGGCTGGGTACGTAAAAGTGATATTAAGGTAAACGCCGTCAAACATCGCGTTTTATTTAATAAAATCGAAAAAAAAAAAAATAAACAGGATGATTTCAAAACCAGAACTGCATATATGACGAAGTCAAACATGAGTCATAAATCACAGTTCGTAGTACAATGGACATGTCACAAAATGGGGAATCCATTAACCCCGCCCTCCGAAGGGAGGTGGTCATTGGAGATATACAATATTATTATGTATTTACAAGCGTATGAGCTCGTGTTATGTTAAACCACTAATTCCATTATTTTTTTCCAGCAATATGAACCTAATCAGCGAACAGATAAAACAAACAATTTTTAAATATCACAATAACTTTGTTTATGTCATGATATAAAAATGATCATTTAATTTTAAATCTCATGTTCAATTAAAGTATTTTAAATAAAATAACTTTTACCGAGAAAGTAAACGCAATTTGTGTGAAAAGATATAAAAAAAATGTCGAAACACCCCCGCCATTTGGTCTCGCACAAATTTGTTGTCTCGACAAAACACGATCCCACGGCTGCGCTCCACTTAGCAAAAGCAGACCAAAAGATAATACGCCTTTATTAATACACCTCCAAACAAGACTGTAGTCGAAAAGGCACCGAGCCACTTCCATTCAATAAGACATCCCGAATACCGTACCCGTGAATGCGTACACTTGCAGGGCAGGAAACGCGGTATCGAATGTAGGATTATAAAAAAAAGATTCACAAAACTGCCGACTATAGACAATGCGTGGCACAAAAGCCAAGAAGTGGAGCTTGGGAACAATTTGGTACGACTTAATAAAACGGCCATTGATGGTATGATAATGACAGGCTTTGTATGAGAAAAAACATCCGTGATTTTAAACATATTTTTACGATGCGCTATTAAGCGAATAATAATTTTATTTCTTAGTAAAATGATCTATTTCCTTTGGATTACTACGACTATTAGCATCTTTAACTAGACTTTAACGTGTTTTTGTATTTTTTTTCTTCTATTTAACTAAAACATTTCGTAAATTTCGTTATTGGTTAATATATACCATTCAATTTGTGTTTTTTTTATATTTATAAAGAGAGAGATTGTCGAGTTACTTTTAAAATAGGTAGACTCAAATGTATATTTAATAATAAAGTATCCAACACCGTGCAATTCACAAACCGTTATAGCGATGTATTAATAGCATTTTAAAAAGGATACTCATTGCCCGTTTCAATTAGCATGGGGTAATTTTAGTTCATTGGGTGTTTGTGTCACGCAACGCGATAGATGGGGCACTAGTACAGGTGATGACTCCCACGCATCACGGGGTACGATTATGATCGCTAACAAGGGAACTTCAACAAATCCAGCTATTAGCTATTAGCATATGAACAATGAAAATCCATAGCTTATTGCATTAACTGTTACCGCGTGGCGTCTTAGGTTTGAGTTAAGGGCGGGCATACACAAGCCGTTATTTATCTGGAAAACTTGCATGTAAGCTACTTGTTATTAAAAGAAAGTTTAATGTACTTTGCTATTAATCAATTTGTTTTTTTTTTTACAATATTTTGACATACTATGCTTAAGTTGGAATTCTGTCATGTTAAACGTTACTAAATATAAGCTTACTAAGGCTTTAAGAAATAGTTTTCTTTATTATTTACATTATTAAAAACAATTAAAAGTTTTGATTATACAATAATGTAAACAATAACTGGTATCGTTATCTGAGTTATTGGCGGTAAAGGGTGGGAAGGGACGCAGATGCGCCTGCTACAAACGTGGGAACACCGCTCCTGTCAAATTGGCCAGGTCACGTCATCTCCCACAACACTGTCATATTACAAGTAATTAAGCATCCAATAAATTGTCCCACAAACTACAGTATAGTGCAACAAACATCCGACCAGTGTGCGCACACCTTTGACTGAACTATCGCACAACTGTTTAGTTGAGCTTTGATTCCTATGAGCTTATATGGAGGTGGGCACACTACTCGATCTTAAGTTGTGCAACTAAACAGTTGAATGGGCTGCGTAACAATTGACAATCGCAAAGCAGTTGTGGGATGAGTCAAAGATGTTTGCCCGCTTTTATCCCGCCCAGTAAAAACCCGGCCTTATAAGTAAGTTGGTTAGTATAAAAAAATCATGTGATTCTGCTTTGTATATGATGTAAGTATTTTCGGAATATAAAATTAAAATGATTTTTTAACTTACTTGAAGAAGGTGCCATTGTCTGCAACTCCATTGTTAATCTATTTGCACATATTGCCTGTAACTAAGAAAAAAGATTGTGAGATTTTAAGAATACAAAAACGGTTCTAAACCTAATTTTAATAAAATACAGTGACCTATCTATGTAATTGCAAATCTATAATGATATTTAATCAACATACAATAAAAGTTAATTTAAAAAAAAAATTGGATAGATTTTACTTTACTCTCTTCTTTCGCATAACAGTCTAATAATATTAAATTATCTCAAATTATTTTTTCCATCTTAAATAAAACAAGAGTCACTTTAGCCAGCTAGTTAGGGTGTAAAATTTTCGCACATTCAAACCGTGCGAATAATATTGAAGTGGCAAACTGTCCCTTGCGGCCTATAAGAGTACTCGAAGTTTAAAAGAAGCAGGAAAGAACTAAACAGCAATTATATTGCAACAAATGTAAGAAAATAATGCTCTATTGTTCACCGGCGACCGTACTGACATCTTTTGGCTATAAAGCTGAGTGCTACTTGTGTTTTTGTTCATTATTCGCTTTGTTCTAGACCACTTGTTGCACTAAACGGTTGTTTCGTCAAGTACATATATCGAGAGCTTAACAATAAATTCTTTTCAATTATTTGCCATTTTCCCAATGTATTAACATGTAGTCAAATTATAATCTTTAACATCTCCTTAATAATAAAAATTCTATTGTTGAATTTAGTGGCCATCATACTTCATACTAATATTATAAATGCGAAAATTTAGGTGGATGGTGGATGTTTGTTAGAGTTTGTTAGAGACGGCTGAACGGGTATTAATGAATTTTGGTATAGATGTAGAAGACAGTCGGGAAAGAAACACAGTCTGCTAACTTTTATTTTTTAATTTCACGCAGACAGTGTGTGTGAAAGCTAGTATTAAGATAAATTACAATTCGTTTTTTAAGAAAACTGTTAGTCGAATATGCTTTAAATTTTACCATAACAAATAAACAAAGATTTTATTTTTTCTGACTAAACATAACAGATGTATTTCTTCTTCATATTTAGCTTTAAAAGACCGCAGTAAAAACTGAATGTGTGAAGGCAGGTTTATGCAAGCAGATATGTAAAAAGTAGCAGGAGCTCAGTTTTCTCTATTATAAAGAAGTGATCACATCAGCCTAGCATAAAATAAAGACACAAGTCCGCAGAGAACATTTATGACGCAATAAACACATGACAGAAACAAAAATAAATTAAAACGCCAAAGAGTGAAAAGGATATAATATTTTTTAATAGTTTGCATTAACACTATAGAAGAATTGACAGTAGCCTAATCCGTATAGTTCTGTTTGTTTGTCGGCATTTAAACATCGAAGTTGCATTTTTCTCGACATAATTACAGTTTCGCAAAACAGGTAATTAGATGGGGATAATCCGGGTAAAAGCGTGAGGACAAAGGCTCGGATAAGCTCCGGGTCGGATAGGCCCGGTGCTCACCGGAGGGTTAATAACAAAAGCGACTCCAATAATAACATCGGAAAGTCGGTAGCTTCTTGCTTTTAAAATTGAGATGGTACAAAAAGTTTCCTATTGATTGTATTTCAATAGATCTGACTGGACTTTAATAGTTTTTTTTTAGTTTTGCGGTGTGCTGACTGCCATTGTATCCGTAAATACTTTACAAGCAGCTTTTCAATAACAATGTTTATATCATTACTGATATTCATACAAATATACATACACGATAAGAATGTACTATACTTTATTCGTACTAACTACGTTATAATATTTCTAATGCAGTTATCGATAAACACCGTTTTGCTGTTACAGCCAAGTATTTAAAACTACGGTAAGTATTCAAAATAATTTTAATATAGTGTTAGTAATTTACGTTTGAAAAAATAGAATCATTAAATTATATTTTAACAATAATATTTTACTTAATTACTTAAGTCATTTCTATATATCTGTATATACTTGTAGAAGATAATGAAAAAGACTAGAACACAAAAAAAAACAAATTAGAAAAAATAACCCCCGTGAAAAAAGAGAATAAGAATCTTACATTTTCCATTGTCCGGTATAGATAACTTCCTGTGTCTCAGCTTCTAGCCTTAAGCTCAGAGCTTAATAAAGATAACTTGTACAACAGTAACTTGATCACTTAAGTTACGAAAGTTCTAACATCCCGAACGGCCAGACACACACTAACCAACTGTTGATTTAAACCCCCCAAAAAATTGCATACAGTATTGATAAAATAGTAAAACATTCTGAGAATAAATACATTGCTGTTCTTAGAATATTTTTGAATGAACGTAATAGTTTTGAGTGTTTTATTTATATTAACAAAGTAACAAACAGTTCCGATAACTTTGTTTTAGATATGATTATAAATATTTATTAGAGATTGAATTCGGGAAGTTAGGACTATAAACATTTTTATTATAATTATAGCGTTCGCCCGCGACTTCGTTCGTGTGAAATTAAAAAACAAAACTAATTAGCCAATGTGTTTGATGAGCCAAATTTGATCGAGAGCCGTTCAGTAGTTTAAGCTACAAATGCTAACAAACTTCTATCCATCTAAACTTTCGCATTTATATTAATGTTGGCTTTCGCCCGCAACTCCGTCCTCGTGGAATTAAAAAAAAAATTAATTAGCCTTTATGTTCTTCCAGACTATCCTCAACATCTACGCAAAAAATCATCGAAATTCGATCAGTCGTTTAGTCTATAAACTCTAACAAACGTCCACTCATTTATCCCAAAACTTTCAAATTTATAATATTAGTATGAAATATGATTATTAAGATTCAATTATATTCTATGGACTATACCGGTGTTACACGATTGTCTAATGTTTCTGCAATATGTAGGTATTAAAAATAAAATGAATACTAAAATAAATTTATTGTCGCATAACTAGAAGCAGTAAATGTAAAAATCACAAGGCAAAGACAAACAAAAAAATGCATCTAAAAATTTGATGGTCTCTCTACCCTTTTAATACAAAACATTGCTTAACTACGTATGTTAAAAATCTTAATATATGTACACAGTAGGTATGTGAAAATAAGATAAACATTATTTACCAAAGAGCTACAGATTGATTTTCCCAACTGTTTAATTTAAAGATGTGATCCGTAGGAAAACTCTTTGTATGAAAGTTAAAGAAACAAAATTAACTTTCAATAAGCGTGTCGGGAAAACATTAATGAAGTAAACTTTAACGACTTCACAAGTAAGTGAAAATTAATTTTTTTAACATTAACACAACTGGCAACGATATCATTTTCAATTGTAAATTCATTTAACGCCATTTGTAATTAACAAGTTTATATGAGTAATGTAAAACTTTGTTATAAAAATATTTTATTTCCTAAAACTGCTTTAAACATACATTGTTTCAGAGATGCATAACGTTCAGTGATAAAATACAAGTAATTGGAGATTGTAAGAATATACGAGTATAATAGTTATATACAATTTTGTGATTTACATCAACAATATTATTTAAATAATCCGAGGCGTTTAGTTGTCCGGTTTATAATATTATTCTATACTAGCTTGCGCCCACGACTCCGTGCGCGTAGAATTAAAAAAACAAAAGTAAGTAGCCTATATGTTTTTTCAGATTATGTTCTACACCTATGTTAAATTTTATCCAGATTCGTTCAGCCGTTAAGGCTACAAACTCTTAGAAACATCCATGTATCCATCTGTCTATCTAAACATTCGCATTTATAAATATTAGCAAGAAAATATGATTACTTTTTATATATGCTGAACATTAGCAATTAGTAAGTTTGTTTGATATTTAATGCCTATACAGTAAAGGGTTTGATCACGATGTGAACAAAAACCAATCAATTTTCATACACCTAGTTTTTAGCTTGTCTAATTTGGTCTATATTATTAAGGATGTTAAATATGATAGCTTATAGGAAATTTTATATGCTAGCTTTAGAGGTTGAAGTCTTTTTACAAGTTATGTAATTAACGTGGAACATTGTTTGAGATTTTGGTTAAATTTTGTGTGCAAATTTTATGTTCATTATTGTTATAGAGTACTCTCTGCACCCGCATGATCGACTTACAGACTCGATACGACATCTGATCTTCGACCTACCGCATTTCCAAGGGTTCCCAACAGATTCCCTAAAATTGAATTGTTTTGTTTACGTTAGGTAAAATACAACTCAATTTTATTAATTTATAGTGAAATATCGTTTCAAAAAGTAATTGACAATACCATTTATAACAGTAATTGTTGGAAGAAAATATATTAACTTGCTTTCGCGCGCGTCTACATCCGTTTGGTATTAAACAACAAAAGTAAGCAGCCTATGTGTAAATCCTGACTTTGCTCAACAAATATGCCAAATTTCATCGAGATCCTTTCAGCCATTTAGGGTACAACCTTTACTAAATATCTATCTAAATTTCGCATTTACATGCGTGTGTATAGTGTATATATGCGCAGTGATAATATAAAAATGTAGCTAGTCGTTCATAGGTGTTAAAATCTAGTAAAGATATTTGTTATTAAAGATGCAAATTAAATAAATTAAATACACAATAAATCTTGTTTGCGATTTTAAATAAAGTTGTACTTACTTATTGATTTAAATAATACACATATAAACATTTACATTTACAATCCGCATAGACAGAGAATTAGTCACTTCGCACAAAATCATTGATAAAAAAATCGCATTTCCTATAAAAATAACTCGCAAAGCTTCTTAAATTACTATAAACTCAACAAAGACTACTTACTTTTAATTAAAATGTTAAAGATTCACTTCACTATGCACATAAAAAAAAAACTGATTTATGACTCCGGTAGTGTGTTTACGTCAGAGATGGTTGGTTGTAGAGTGACGCACGCGCATCCAGTAAGGGCTGCAGGGGTGCGGGGTGCCTTGCGATATTTTACCCGCCCCATCTCTTTACCCACCGAAATGACAACCTCATTGATACCGCACTATGTGAAAAGTCATCTATTATTTTTTAATTACTATCGTTTAAGAGTTTGACCTTTAATTGTCTTATTTTGCTGAAACAATTAAATGTAAACGTTTTAAAATGTATTAAATCATTTCATAAAATCACAGATATTTTACACTAAAAACATATTTTTCTAAAATTTTAATCAGTCTTCTTAAATGACTTTTAATAGCGCTATCTTCGATATTGACAATATATTATAAAAGCTACTTATAAAGATAGTAATCAACAACATGTCTCTTTAGGGGATACAGAAATAATAATAATATGTCATCAGTGTTGATTCCCGGTGCCATCTTTAAATCTGATAGGACAACTGTCAACTTGTGACGTTGTGCGAAAGGCGGACCGTGATTGGCGCACGCGGCTACTCACCCCTGCCGCGTAGGGAGGCGTCTTTATTTTAATTTAGGGCCACTTTATAGAGATTACCCTTTGTACTCCTGACTCTGGGGGTTGCCTTTGTGACTGGCTAGTCATTTTTTAATCGCAGCTCATTATTACTTTGTTTGTTATTGTAATGATAGTCGCTTTATCAAATTTATTTATATCGTGGCAATGAATTGTCAAATTTTTTTCCAGATTTTATTATATTACCTGCAATCGTCACTTTGTTTGCGCTGATTAGAAAAAAAATATCAATATAGCCTGTTTTTCAGTGATAATGCAGCTTTCAAATGGTAAAAGAATTTTTGATATTGGCTAAGTCGTTTTTGAGTTTATTCATAGCATACAAAAATGTATGCAACAATTTTCCTAATAATAGTATAGATAAACTGTTCGTTTTCGACTTCGGAATAAAGAATTTTAGTAAGTTACATAATGTTTCAAGTTACAATTTATAAATAATTAATTCAACTTAGGTAACAGTTGATATTATAATAGATTCGTATGTTCTTAACAAAATATAAATAAAACGATATATTGTAACCCTTATTTATTTATTAAAACATATTTATTTTAATCATAAAAGCATATTCTAACCTTGTATTATTACATACCTAACTGGCTTTTGATATTTGTTTTAAATATTTTAAGCCAGTCAATTTGAAGTGCACGGACATACTGAGGCACATTTGGCAATTGTTTTTTTTACCTAAGAGCGGCGGCACATGTTTGACTAAACTATCGCACAACAGTTGTGCCATTGTCGATTGTCAATTGTTTCTCAGGCCATTTAACTGTTTAGTTGCACAACTAAAAATGGAGTAGAGTGCACACGTCTTTATAAGCTCATAGTAATCAAAGCGCAACTAAACAGTTTTGCAATAGTTTAGTCAAAGGCGTGTGCGCTCTAAACATATAAAAGTTCAGCACTTTTTATTAAGTTATCCTACTTTTATGATACAAACTTAATAAATAACATTTAAGTGATCATTTTTCATAGTTACAAAAGAATTGATAGTCTATTAGGTACTCTATTCTACTTCTACAATGTGGAAAATGTAATAAAATTACAGTAGTCAAAGCAAATTAACGAGCTAAAGGAAATATAATTAAATTTATGACAATTTATTGTTGTATAAGATTCGATATTTTGAGAAACAGTATATAAAAAAAAAACTAAAACATTTGTTGAACGAAATATTACAACGTTTCCAATGCCGAAACACATGCACAATCGCGGATATCAGCGGTGTTCCACCTGTAGAAAATTGCCTTATCTTGAAACGAGACAAACTCCGCCTCTTTTATAAATACAAACAATTAGCACTAAGATGCTGAAATTTTCATACAGACTGATTTAAAAGTTTTCCTTTTGCTTAATGTTCCGCGTTGTCGTGTCAATGTGTACAGAACATTGAAACGAATGTGGTCGGTACACCACCAGATTCCCCGACTGTACAAAAACATATATTTATCCCTCTCCTTTTTGAATGACAACAATATACGTTTATGTAGATTTGTAAACTGAGGGATAAATTATAATACTGTATTTATAAAAAATTCTTAACCTGTTTATTAAATTATCTACACATTTGACTCGACAGTAGTTATTTATTTTCTAATCTCATACACAGAGCACCTCACATACAGTTACTATGAAATGAATCCGTTTGCTCTAGCGACCACAAAATATGGCCAATCAACTTATCAAACTTTAAGTGGCTAAATGCACATAAAACGTCTAATTAGTCTTTGGGCAAAGCGCTGTCACTTTTCCCTCTGGAATAGACTCGATATGCGCTCTTTGAACCGAGCATTCTGTCGAGCAAACTATGCTTCGCCCGTTTCCTAAGGGACAACACCTCACGGCAAAGTTCATGGAACACTTCTCCGACTTGATTCACTTGTTCTGCTGCCGCCACTTCTGCAAAGCTGCATTCAAAATCTTTCGCTAATATTTCACCTTCCTCCGGACTCACCTGCAACACGGAAAAGTAATATCTCTTTGTAAATATTTTTACACCTCGGTTATACTATTCTATAACTACGGTATGTGAGATCACATCTATTGTTAAAAAACCTTAAGCGATGAGATTGAACTCATCGCGGCATTCTCTCTTTTTGACATCTGTGTCCCTATTACCCTTAAGTAAAGGCACCGTCGATATCAAATAATTTTAAAAATAACACACTTAATATCTGTCTGCAGTATATGGCAATGGTTTATTCTATCTTTGAATTTAATAGCCGGACTATTCTTGTAACAAATTCGATCCAGGAAGATAGGATTCTTTGCCAAGCGATATATTTGGCAAAACACCAACTCGCACATTGTAGTGACAAATTTGGTCCTGGAGTTATTCAAAATTACAGACACATTGAATTTTTCTTTGAAATAGTAGAATTATCATATATGGGGTCGGAATAAAACATTTTTCATTCTCAAAACATGGGTGTCGTAAGGGGGAAAAGGCACTAAAAAAATAGAAAAATAAAAACAAGTATAAGATAACTTCGAATAAGACCATTCACGACAAATCCCTTCCTCACCTAGTACTATAGCCTAGATCTTCGGCTAGCAACGCCCATGCTTCAAATTGTATTTTTTCTTTCTTTTCTTAATCTAGACTTCCTTCACTTGATCTATCCATTACCAAGAGGTACCTAAGAAGATACCCCGCAGATATTATATGTATAGAATTACCTGTCTTAAATGTACCATATCAGCCTTATTCCCTACAAGTGTGAGCGGCACATCTGGGTGCAGACTCTGTTTAGCTCGACGCACGTAGTTGAATGATTCACGGTCTGTGATGGAGTAAACCAGGAACAGACCGTCAGCCCATTGCGCTATTTCATTGCCAGGTAGCTCCTCCAAACTCTGCGTCAAAGCACTTATCTTTAGAACATAAAATTAATAATGGACAAACTACAGAAGGTTGAAATTAAGGTTAGTTAGTTAAGTTGATTAGACTGATAGAAATATCGACTTTAAAATATAAAATATAAATATTTAAAACCGTCGAGCTTAAATCAGAATTGGAATCGAATTATAACTCACAATTCAAAATTGGTTGGATAAGGTACAAGCGATTACAATTGACCAGATATACACATACAAGTATAAATATCAGTCAATCGGGTAATTAAGACTATTGTTATGGACATTACCTTTGGACAAGTGTCCAATATCTCAAATAATATTGGTTCTCCATCAAGTAGAGCTTCGTGTTTGTACTTGCTGTCTGAAAAAAGAAAATTAAAACAAAATTAATAGTGGCTCTAATTTTTATTTTTACTTAGATATCTTTAGATTATTTGTTACAGTGTAGTATCCTGCGTTTATAAAATGAACATGACAAAAAATGAAGGCAATAATGACAATTGACGCCATCTAGTGAGGTCATTTGGTTACTTATTATTGTTCATTGTTCACAATATAATTGATCTCAATATTTTAATAGATAACGCCGGTCGAAAAAGTAATATTTTACAAAAAGAAAATTATTAATACAAATAGCTTGATATTCATTAAAACAATTATTTCAGTTTCAGTGTAAAAATTATAGAATGAAATATACTCTGTACAAAATATTACCTTGTTGATGATCGTATTCTCCGATATACCGCTTGGTAAGAAACCGCACGGTCAGCGCTGTAAAGCAAAAAAATAGTTATGTGAGTAAAAATAATAGTTTGTAAGTGGTTTAAGTTTTCCGATTTTAAGATCTCCGATTTTCTACGTTTATGACGGTATTATATCGAATAATACCTTACGGTCATCCGGTATTTATTAAAAAAAAACAATAAATGTAATTTTTTATAAAAATGTACCAAAATTAGAAATCCAAACGAAACAAATAAATTGACTTTATTATTTTGAAGAATTTATATGATAGTATTTCTTCATTGGATTTATCGTTCATCATTTTACTTAAATAATTTTGAATCCTCTCAAAAACTCGTAAAACTTCGCAGTGCATTGAAGCTGAGCATAAATATGTCAAAGAAATGCTAATAAAATATTTATATTACTAACAATTGTTGTACATAGTGTACAAGTATGTAGAACTAACTTTCTCCCGCGACTCCGCCCGCGAGGAATTAAAAAAAGAAAAGTAAGTAGCCTATGTGTTCTTCCAGACTATGTTCTACAACTATGCCAAATTTCATCGAAATCCGCTGTTTAGGCCATAAACCCGTTGAGCCATTTAGGCTACAAACTCTAACAAACATCCATCCATCCAAACTTTCGCATTTATAATGTTAGTAAGATGAGATCGCGTTGCATAAAGTCATACCACCTTATATGACTATTTATAAAAGTTATGTATATATTTCAGGTTTTAATTATATAAACTATAAAAAAACTCTGGCAAACTCATTTTAATCTCATAAAATACACCGTAACATGTATGATCTAGTTGCTTGTGTCAAAAATAAACTCTACGCTGATATAAAGTTGTATTACAAAGTATTTTTTTTTTCTATAATTTTTATTAATATAAATAGTTGAACATATTTCAAAATTCGACCACTGATGATAAAGAATATATAACGTATTATAAGTTTAACTATTGAGGCATTTTTTTTTAAAAAGGAGAGCAAAGTTTTTGCTCCATGTATGTAGATCATAGAATACTTCACGATCACGTCATTTTAGTAACAATATGTAATTGAGAGGAACAATGGGTATGCAGTAGCGCAACATTGTTCTTGTAAAGATATTTAGGTTTGACAATTTGCACTGGTAAAGATATTTTGGCACTTCTACGACCATCAATTATGCAGAGTTCGTATAGGCTTGTTAATACAATCATTACTCGAGTTCAAATCCACTTAACATCAATAAATAACGTACTTCCTCTAACATTATATATGATTATTAGTAAGCGTGTTGATTAATTATGAGGTTAGTCGTTTACTTTTTCACCTATACAATAAAACGGACCGAAAGAGAAATCTTGTTTTGCAAATGTTATAAACACGCTAACTAAACACATAAATGTAAGTTCTGTTCGAGATTGTGATGTACCTAATTCTCGTAGTATTTTTTTTTTCAAATTCACACTGAGTGTTTGTTTTCACTGCCCATTTGTGTACACGTTACGTTTTATTTGCGTACAATGTTGCCAGTATCTGACATTCCGATCTTATTTTTGCTATACTGAAATATAGAGGGTGTGTTGTCTTGAGAAGATATTTATGACCAGTATTAATGCCGGCGTTTTAAAAGCAAATGTTTATTTTTACCTACTTGGAAATTAACTTAAATGAAATAAATTTAAAATCGTACTGTTGTATTATGCATGATGTAAAATATTTTTTTTGTTAACATTCATCATCAACTTGTCCTAGCCCTATGTGGTGTTCTTCCATACATTTGTATCAGCCGTCATATCAGAATCCATGTTTTTATTCTTTCAATTTGCTTATTATTACCAACTTTACTTTGAATGACTTTTACTAAAAATCTTACTTGGTTAAAAGCAGTCGAATATGAGAGATTCGAATTCACGATGTCCATTTCTTGAGTCAGTACCTTAGACATCAAATGTCTACTGACTTTGCACAATGAAACTTAAAATATGTAACTATATGTATTATTTTCATATTCGTTTATTCCAAAAATTGCGTCATTCCCGAATTTTTGGCACGATCTACGCCACATTATATCACGAGAATAGAAACAAATTATCCCATAACGGCAAGTTACTGACCCAGAATATGATTTCGTTCTATTTACGGTTATTGCTTACCGTAATGCATTGGTACTTGTTAATTGTTAAAGCTTTATGGTTATTTACACCAACCTATGGTAAGAAAGCAAATTTATAATCATGGTTAAACTCAAAGAATACCCCTAATATTTGTATATTATGTAATTTTACAATTAAACAGAACTTATTTTTTGTGAAATAAAATAAATTTTGAATGGTCGTAGGAAACATATAAATAAACACTAGCTTTAATAAACATTTTCATAATGTACGTATTTCTTTACATTACTAATCTATGGTGTTCCCAAAAAATAATAATTAATATAGATTAGTTTTTTTTTGAACGTTTAATGGAGCATGATCTTCCAGTGAACTCAACCAGAATATTAATGAACTAAACCACTAACACGTGAAATGAATTATTTAAATACTCGGTCGTCTCACCATCACTTACATTTAAATCGAGCAGAGTATTGTTAAATGTAACGACAATTGAAAAACGCGAAGGAAATATTTCTCCCTCCTGTCTTTAAAAACAAGATTCTACAACGAATTATTGACGATATTTAATAAGGATTCATCAATTTAAATTACATATTAAGTAATGTAAACGTACCCCATTGCCGCCAATTTAGGCTTTGTTCTGATTAATTTTCAAAAATAAGAACGATGTTTATTGATGTCCAAAGAAAATAGTTTTTCCAGGAGTGCATTTATCGATCTTTTTAGTCATCTATAGAAACACTTATACTAAGAATTATTTAAGATATTAAAATGGAATTTGCGCGTATTTTAAGGAGTCCTTTTTGGGTGCGTTTGCGTTAATCAGTTAATTAATTTTATGACCACAACCGCTTCAAAATACGCAAGAGCTTTTACTATTTTATTCTCTGCAAGTTAAACAGCTATATCGTCGCGCCGTTCGCAAATAACCGTTGTTTATTCTAAAGTCTTAAAATACTCAACGATAGCAGGAAAGAAGCAGTGACTTCTTTATGTTTAATAAAAATAGAATAAACTCTGCCGAAACATAATTTTTGTGAGTAGTTAAGACGTTTCTAGTGGGTGAGTCCTACGCAATCATTTGGGTACTGGCAGTGTTGGCTGAATCATAGACGCTTTTCCGTACAATGTACTAAAATTGAAACGTTTCCGTGGTGTAGAATTAATATTATTGATTAATATAACCTTGTAAAATATTTTCAGATGGTCTATTTTAACCGAGATATGAAGGTTTATTTAAAGTTATAATGCGGTTTTATTTATTAATTAGGAAGTATACAAATTAATGAAGATAAGCTTTTTATAATTTATTCTACATTTCAATAGGATAACCAAGCACCGAATACAATGATAGTCAAATATTGCATTGTGATAAAAATGAAAAATATCACAGCCACTGCTTAATTTTTATATGTGTTTGCTCAAATGCATCGAAGTCTATCGAGAATTGAAACGATAATTCGGTGACGTCAAACGAACCGTGAATGGATAGGTGGCATTGGAACAAGGTTATTTTCTCGTATACTATCAATTCATCAATATTATGACAAGATTCAATATGTTGTTAACAAGTTGTAAATAATTAAAATATTAAATTTATAACTTTTTAATAACGCTTCAGTGGTTTACAAATTGAAAGGATAAATAAACCTTGAGCAAGAAGATTTATATTGCAAAAGTGATTGATTGTTTCAAATAACCGTAAATTTAAGGATATAAAATTGAAAGAGGTAAGTTACGCTAAATGCGTGCGTGTATTTTATCGCCCGTTCAGACTTTCAGGTACCCATCGTTTAATACATTTTACGTCATTTGAGTATAATATGTGTTAATGGTTTCATCAAAATCTGATTATATTGATTTAACATCGTTATATCATGACAAAATTATTAGGTGTTGTTTATTTTTATGACATAAATCAATTCGTAAACAAACATAGTTTACGCAGATTGTTCTAACACTTGATGTTTGGCGTAGCGCCAGCTCGGTAGCACTCTACAGGGATATCACACATGTAAACGATTTACGATGACAAAACGAAATAAGTATTGTATAATGCGCTAATTGTAAATGACTGGTAGCGTTACCGAATGTTTGCTTTTAAAAATACATCTGTCCCCGCGGCTAATTTTCAACTGATCTGTCTAAAGGATCTTGACCACGTTTAAAATAATCTTAATGAAATACTTGAATATTCAATTTTCTTGTTACTTAAAATACAAATTGGATGTCAAGTAAGGAACATAAATGATTTTCACAAATGAACTCGTGGTCAACCGAAATCTACTGTGCTCTCTAAAACAATTATAAACATGATGATCGACTGCTCAATATATGTACATCACTTAAATTGCAATGAAGCACGTACTATTGCGTCCTACTTGAGGGATTTCTTATAGAACGAACCAATCTACAAAAGGGCTGTTTATTTGTTGTTCTGCTTATTTATTTACTAATGTATTACAATAATGCGAATGAATCCGAAAATTACTTCTTAATAAAAATCAGCTAAATAAATGCACAAAAATTCGCGCGTTTCAAATTACGTTCGGCATAACGGAATTAGACAGTGCGAACTCGAGGTTATTTTCAATTGTTCTCTACGCTTCAACATTGGATCGAACACGTTTTAACATTACTTAATGTACTCTGAAATCAACCGAGATCAAAGTGCACGCAGAGAAAATGTTTATATTCTTAAAAAATTATGTGTTAACAACCATTGTGAACTTCGTAAACAATATATCACAGTCGGTCGTCTTTCATCACGACAGGTTTAGACAGATATGATCATTTTATCGAGTGTAATTACATTTTATAAACATTTTCACTAATGCCAGTTGCTATAACGACTTTGTTAAGATCTTTTCAGATTTTAAGATCTCAATAATAATTGCCTTATAGTTCGAATCTACTACTTCAAGATATGAAACGGAGAAGCGATGGTATCCGATATGACAGGCATATTATGATAAGAAAAAATACGTTTCTTTTGCTAGAATATACGCATTTGTGAAATAAAATTTTCGATACGAGAGTATATCTAAATAATAAGATTTGACGTACAACCATAGATAATACGTACATATTCTGAAACTCGTACGAAAGTACGAGAGCGATGGAATTCATGATCATTGACCCATATTCAAGTCGGAGTTTACGCACCAATACACAATGTTGCCGCCAAAATTAGACGTGTAATGTACGAATACGATACAGACCCGAAGCGTCGAAATCATTCCAATTACCATCCTACGTGCCATCTGCGCCTTGTCTTGATTCAATATGACCCAAAGACATTTCAGAATATATTTGAATCACTTTGATATGACCTGAGTTAACGCCATCGGAAAGGTACTTAAACTATATACTCGCTGACTTTATAGTAATTATTTGGACCATTTTCTTTGTTTTTTTATTATAACTAATATAAATATCGAGTACATCAGGTATTACGGAAACTTTAGATCTCATCTAGTTGTAATTAATGAACTAGAAATGTGCCGACTTCAAGTTCAAACTGAAAAATAGTAAGTAAATTGCAAAACGTTAACCCCTAATGGTAGCTCGTATTACGGGGAGCACATTATCCCGTCAGATGTCACTTAAAAATTCAACTACGGGATCTATTTTGACAAGACGCACAAATAGTAAAACCGACTGCGTGGGTGTACTACAACAGAACATGATAAACGAGTAAAGGGATATGTTTTGTGGCATATTCATTTTCAACAGTATATCGTACTTTGTGATCTATCTTTTTAATTCTTTATTGGCAAACACGAAACGCATAAAGAAACGTATTGATAACGAGTTTTATGGATTTAATAAAAACGTTTAACTAGGTTGATAAATTCATAATCTTAGTGACTTTTCATCTTTGAATCATGTAATGTAAAATTTTAACCCTAAGTTCTAATCGACTCACTAACGAATCTAAGTATTTTGATATATTTGCGCTTTTAATTAATTTACTTTTACTTTAATTTATTCTTTGTTAGTTAAGCGTTCCCTTAGTAGTAGTTAGTCGGTTCCCTTTTAAACATGTCTACCCTGGAAGTGTTACAAAGAAAAAAGATCTTAGAATATTTGAAAACAATAAACATTGTACAAAAACATAGTAAGTATAATGCCATCCAAACTTGCGGCTCGCGATTTCTAGGCGCGGCTGCGTAGGATATAATCTTTTGAATCGAGGGGACGTATAGCAATACAAGGGCAGGAAAGGGGTGCCCTTGATGGAGGTTCCACAAACCGCAGTAAGCTCACCCTGCATTTGTCTGTGAAGATATGCGAAAGTAGCAAGCTGACATAAAGTGTGAACATAGTAATGCATATTATTGCCTATGTAAATACAGGAAATGGACACTCGTATTTCTTAAACATTATGAGCAGGATGTTTACCAAATATTGTTTCTAAACTCCCTATCGGAGGTTTAAAGTTCTTGGTATTTGAGTTTTATTTATGTATAGTAAAAATAAAATATGTTTTTGTATATAGCGATTTCGCTTTGCGGCAATGGTCGCAAGCATTACACACGTGTTATTCAATGTTACTGTTATAAATAAATAAAATGACCTCAGCAAGTCCAGAGCGCAACAGCAGAACTGGTACGTAAGAATCGAACGTTTACGGCTTAATATTTTAATATACAATTATCTATTTAATCATGAGATGAGATAAAAACAAATAAATCCCCGTGATTTAACCCGCACATTTCATTTGATTAATAGTCAATTAATTTACTAATTTAAAACTTGAAATGTTTCACTGTAGAATCAGGTTGTTTATTTACTAAAGTGAAGGATATGAAACAAAATCGTGAAATGTACGACTAAAATCAATGAGTCATATTATTATAACTAATGTAATTTCTCATAACTGTAATATTTTCGTGACACTATATTTTAATAGCATAGTTGTATGATTCACTTATAATAACCGGTTATTAATTTTTTTTTTCGTAAAATAATCTGCTTTGATAATATAAGACTGATGTAATCGTTGAAAACAATGAAAGCCACAATGAAGGAACATTTTTAGATCGTGGTTCTAATAAAAATCGTACATTCTAATCTCGTTTGATGATTTATTTCGCATCTATAAAATTTTCATGGCTTGTAACATTAACAGTAGCATCCATAGGAGTAGGCAGGAATTATAAAAATCTGTTTTACATGCAGCATCTAATTTCGTTTTATTAATTGGCTATTTATATGATTAGAATATGCCATGTCTTAATGTATAAACTCTAAAGAATATTGTGGGTATTTCACGTTTTTAATGGATTTCTCAAGAATTTATCATTCTTCAATTAAACGTAAGATCGATCCGGTTTAAAATGCAAAATTCGTACATACTTGCACAGTTTGTAAATCAATCTATAAATATGTACACATTCCATGTAGATGTTTAGATGCATAGTTGTAGATTTAAAACAACTGCGTCTAGTAAAGACCTTCGTGTTAAAATTTTGGCAATGTCAAGCGACATGGAGTAGAAACAACTGTCTGGCAAAAGTCTCGTCTTGTCTGGTACACCTTTAGGTGTATAGTTTTAAGACATGTAAAATACTCAAATATTTAATGCAAATAGCTTTCAAACTGATAAATTTTGACTTAGTATTCATTGAAGTTTCTCAGTCAAATAGGATTGCAGTTCCTACTAAACATTATTAGATACGTAAATTGTAATGTTAAAATGACTTACACATAAATATTTGCCAAACCATTCTAATTGGGTCCGAAAATATATTTAATGTGGCAATTTGCTAGTGAATAATTTGTTAGTTTAACCTTGGAAGTAACTTTGATTCAATAATTTTATTTTCGTGGTCGTAGCAATGTCTTCAGAATCGCGTAGGAATTTTTTTATATATGTTGCGACGTCAACTCATAATATAATAGGAAAGTAATTTTATGCAATATTCATGGAACATTTTATTCAATATTTATACACCGTTTAAAGCCAAGAGCATATTACTACTTACATATAAAATGTTTAAAGAAACCGCAAAAATTTAACCAATAAACGAGGTACCTACACGTATTAAAAATCATTTTGAATTTAGGTATGTTTGTATTTATGTATCGATTTGAACATATCACATAAAGAGAATGGCAGCAACAAAGTTAACTTTTGTTTTAACAATTATTACTTTTATTTTAATAACACTTAGCTACAACCACTTACCATTTGAGATGCATCACAAGAGCTAATTATGAAATTATCAAAAAGTTGTACGAAAACCTTCCTTATAACAAACCACTAAACATGAGCGCTTCCGTGTTCATGTCTCGCGAGCTCACATACCGCTTTTGCCGACGGAAGGTGCACCGATCACAGCCACTTTCACTTCGGAGAGCGAGGATTTCTTCCGTCTTATGCCTCGAGATGTCATTTTCCCGCGATCATGGTCCCGGCGCACGGAGATCTCGTGGAATGGCCCGTAGGCGGCGTGCGCGTACGCTGAACACAACCCCGCTCCCGCTTACCAGCTATTAATACCCCAAGCGACACAGCTCTGACATCGGCACCCGTGTTAATGGGTCAAGATCTGGCCAAGATCAGTTGTGCGAATAGGCGTGTTTACGTCGCATCGCATCGGGCTTCCTTACGACGCCACGTGCCCATGGCCGCAGGCCAACGCCGCCCCTCACTCTTGACACTGTTTCGCACCCACTACCACATAACTCATACATTCTCAAACATTTTTAGCAGTTAAACAATAGTCTTACAATTAGGTACAGACATCATATTCGTAGTTTCTTCAAGCTAGATAATTAGGCAGTTAGTAATGGGATTTTTACGCTTGGGATAGAAGCTACGAGGATTGGTATGTAACCGGCGTTCACATCCGGCACTCTAGATAAAGAGTGAGTAGATATTATGTTGGAAGCGGCTCGGTGCGAGTTAGGTATGCATCGTGTGCTGACTGGCGAAGCGCCAGGTCTCATCTTTGGAGTACAATTAAAATATTCGCAAGCACTAAACGGCATTATCACTTCCATTGTTTATAATAACTTTTATGACATATTTAACATCTTGGCACTGTTTTATTTCGTTTAAAACAATTTTGTTCTTGTTCACGATTCTGTTAGAATAAACAAGCAATGTATTTGCATCTATATCTATCGTTTTACGTTTACCATCTATTTTAAGTAACAATTAAAACCATAAATAAGCAAAATATACACATTTATTTCCCTTAAATTTACAATTAAGTAGTTACAATTAGTTTTTATGCTACACTATACACATAGAAAAAACCGTCTTACTCACTAAAACTACTCGATTATTGCTTGATGCGCGTTTCTTGTTCAAGCTTTACATTTATCCAACTATTACTTACAAATTACATACAATTAAATCAATAATTAAATTAAACAGTAAATTAAAACTAAAATCGAGACATTTTCAACTTAAGCAACAATGGAATTACCTTTTTTTTAATTTGGAATAAACAATTGATTTTTCTCTCGAGAGAGAAACTAAGCTTTTTGGGCTATTACAATAGAATATTTTGTTTATTTTCCTATCAAAATCAAAAATAATAATAGTTCTAAAAATTAGATACGTGAATTTTGAAAGGTAATACGTAACGTGCAATAACATGTTTTCTAAGGTTATGCGATATGGAATTTTTAAATGTTTCTTTATTATTTCACGAACTCTACATTTTGTAAAAAAAAAGAACAAAAAAACATAACATCAAAGACATAGTTTAAAACAATAAAACATACACAAAACAATTAAAATCGTAGATAAAACGAGAACCCAAAACACAAATATAAAACTCTAAACACAATGCAACGAAATTAAAAACTTATTACTCATTATGCTACAACTTAACTACGCTTAAGTAGTATTAATTCAATTATTTTACTCTTAAATCCTACGTCCTTACATTAAATTAACTTAAGTATATATTAAATGACAATATGAGAAAAGAAATTAGGTGTTTCCTAATTTATTGATTTTATCAACGTGAAAAAGAAAATCGGAAAATAAGCATACTATAGAAATATAACAGAAAGAAGAAAAAACTTGTATTGCTAAAATATGATTGAAAAATTAAGGGGCATAAAGTTAACATTACACAAACTGTCGTAATTTAAAACATCTTAGCCTAAAATTTTCTTTTAAGAAAATTGTTTTCTCAAGTTCAGTTTACATTAAAATATCACAAAAAAGAAATGAGCATGCAACTACAGCTTGGTCAATTACTTATTATACATTATTAAGTAATGTAATTATAGTCTTTCATTGAGCCAGTCGTGTGAAATTTTAATAATAGAAAAACTTACAATAATTTGGCACAAAATTAATGCTTAGCTTTGGTAAGCAATGCTTAGATATTTTGACGTGAATTATAAAAAAAATACATTAAAATAACTAAGCATTCTTTTAATTTAACCGTTGAAAATTTAACTCATATTCTTGTTTAAAGGAATTAAAATTAATGTTTATTGTCCAAATTCGCGATATGTAGTTAAGACTGACGATTTGATAAAAGTTGTGTAATGTTAAGAAAGATGTGGACCCCGGCCCTGCTCGGTTTACTTTGGTTTGTGAAGAGTGGACTGGTCAGGCTCTTAGCCCGGATAAAGCGAAAACCCGCAAACCAAACTCCAGGGGAAGTCTAGCTCACAAGATAGGATGTTTGGTTTAACAGTGCGACAGATCCTGTCTTCCCAATAGGGGTTAGAAAAGGAGGATAATGCAATGAAAACCAAATGGGACTGGGATAGCGGAATTAAGTTCTGGCCTCCATAGACCTGACATGGTGGGTTTAGAAGAATTTGCCATGCGTGACAAAGAAAAGCGCGCTCTCCGTTCCTTTTTATAAAAGCAAAGTTGTCCAAGACCATTGACTAATAAAGGCAAATTTATGATTAATAATTTTGCGTTAATAATAATTCATAAGCTATATAATAATAAGTTTATAGAACAAACTTATATTGTTCTGATAATTAATGCTATGAAATTCTATGGTGGTATTTAAAACATTATTATGTACGTTTACTTACGAGCTTACAACTCTATATTTTATGTTATACTAACAACTTAAATTACCATTATTAAATCTACGAACAATCTTATTCACATAAATAACTAAAGCATTTTAAATGTTTAGTACATATGATGATGGTGTTTAACTGACAAAGCTAAGGTTTTACGATGCAATAGTTTTATTTGCATATGAACATAAACGAATCGAATAGAATAATAAAAAAAGAATGATAGGTAAACTGGCAACTGAAAGAAAAAAGGTAGTTCAAACTAAACTCAGAAAAGGTATAACGTATGGCACCAGAAAGAAAATAAAAATAGATGACATCCAAATGACATAGATGAATTTTCAGTAAACAAAACAACTGATCGTAAATAAAGTCAAGAGAAGAATTACAAATGGCTGGAAAAGATATTTGAGCTGGACAGAAACCATTAGGATAAGATACTGCATCATTGTTAAAGGTATTTAATGCAATGGAATATGCTCAACGATCGGAAGTATACAGTTAAAAACCTAGAACAAAGACAAAGAACATAACTAGCAAAATCAGAAGACTCAATTAAGTTGAACGGGGCCATACGTTAGGTCAACGGAGAGATGAAATTATCCTAAAGTATTTCTTCCATAACGGTGTTCAAATAGATGTTATAAAGTGTTTCACAACAAAGCAAGTCAATATCAATTTGATTTACAAACTATTTTTTTTTACCTAAAATACTTAAAGAAAACGATATTATTATAATTACGATCCTAACCTATAGTAAATAACCTATTTTTTTAAACCCAATAACTACAAAACGTATAAAATAAAGATACAGAGTGAGTGAATGGATAAATGAAAGAATGAAGGAATTTATGTTGTCAATGGCTTGATATAATGTTTATTGGAATTTAACTATTGGCTCAATATTATTTAGTGTATTAGTGTTACGAACTATAAAAAACTCCGATCCTTGCCAATGGCCGTTTATATAATAAAGTTAAAAAAATATATATTTATACGACGACGATTGCTGCATTATTAGAGCATAAATTTCAATTTAATAGAGGAAAAACTAAGAATCGAAAATGAACTATCGAAGTACGTAGCATTTATAGGTTCCTGGAGAAAAAAGTTAAAGTAAAATAATTCTAGATCCTTCCATTGGCGAACCCAAGATTTCGTGGAAGGGTAGGCTGAAATTTTCAACTTAGGTAAACAATGGCTAAGACGGTATAATTGCTTTGTTGAATAATTTTAACAACCACGAGTTTCTGCTGAAAAAATATTGTCATATAAAACAAATGCTGGTTTTATTTAGATGTTTTGGCATTATAAACTGTGTCAAAGTAAAATTGGAAACTCAATTCGTAAAGAAAGATTTGATAGATTGTCCCTTTACCTTTGTCTCCTTGGGTTCGCTAATAGAATTGTTTAAAACACACCTATCTCACTAACTACGATATTAAAAGAATTACAATATTTGCGTGTTTATAACACGATAGCTTATCGATTACAGTAAAAATATAGACGTAACTTACTACTTACTTAAGAATTTCCAATTGATTAATTAACCTAGCTTCATTATAATATGTTTATTATAAATATAATCTAATTACGAGACCTAAAATGTAAATGTAAGAACATTTATAATATCAAATCAACTGTAACTTTAATCCAAAATAACCCAAAACGAATACCAATTATTTTAAGTCTTTAAGAATGAAGTTGGTAAAATGAAAAAAAAAAAGCTGCCATGAATAACATTTTCCAACTAAATAAAAACGTGATTACTAATGATTCAACCATGTTTTTTGTAACCTAAATTTACTGTTATTTCATTTAAATTGATTTCCTTTTTGACAGTGAGAATTACAAAAAAAAACTTTCCATTGTGATATAAAACATATGTAAAAACGATATGATAAGTATTACATCAATGTTAAAATAAAATAAAAAACATACAGACAAATTGAGTACCTCCTTCTTTTGGTAAGTCGGTAAAAAAATTCATTAAACTCAATGGCACCAAGGTAAATAATCGTATCTTAGAAGTTGGCCATATGCACAATGTTTTATCATTGTGCATATGGACAACTTGATAACCATTTTGTTTATTAGAAAAAACAAAAAAAACATAAGAACACGTTTACTGTTTTTTTTTTGTATGTAACGTAACTAAATTTAATATAAAGAAATAATGTTTAAAAGTTCTGTCCTAAAAAAAAATTATTATTAAAGTTACGACTATTTACATAAGAACCATAGACATTTGACCTTATTTTTATTAAAATATTAATGGATATTCTAAAAACTAAAGACCGGTACGGCCTTTCTAACTATAAGATATACATACTAAGATAAGATATATTTGTAATGGTCGTATTGGAGCCGTGAATCAATGTACACTTCTTAATTCTAAATTATATCTAGACCTTATTAATAAAAATAATAATAACAAAAATAGCAATAAAAATTTCGAAATGTCCAAAAAATTCAAAGATACTATCGAAACACTAAGGATTTCACTTAAAGTGTTGATATCAGTAACGTTAGTATGACCTCTTTTTGTATCGGGGGGGAGGGGGGATCTTCAAAAAGACACCCTTTCTTCTGGGGGACAGCATGGTTAACATTACCTTACCCTGGATAATAAAAACTTGCCGTACATAAACGTATTTAAGAGTTTTTTAAATGAACTGTAAATTATTTTTAGACTTCAAAATATTCCCTATATTCCAATATTCTTTTTATTCTATCTATCAGTAATCAACCAGTCACATTATACTAAGAAATACAATCAAAACAGATAGGAGTTAAAATTTTGAATGATGAAATTCTTGGACATTTAGACTGAAACACTAATTCACATAAAAAAACTTAATACAAAAATTGAATATTCATTTAACACAACTAGTACGTACTATTATTATTATTAAGTTTTTAACAGCACGACTTTATTTAATTAAAAAAAATAAAAACATCTAGAGGTTACATTGTTGGCCGTTATTAATGTACAAAACTAACAGAAAATTATAATTAAAAAGATTAATTATTTTTATTTATAAAATGAATTTAAAATATTTTTTATTTCAATAAAAATAAATAAATAAAATGATAAAGCAATTTTAGAATATCAATAAACCATGAATGGCAGTAAAAAAATAAACACCAATGAAAAAAATGATTTTAAATTTAGAATTTCAAACAAACCCTCACATAAATAACAAACACCTATATTAAATACCACAACCAAAATTCTATTTTATAAGAAGGAAAAAAACTAAATTAGAAAGAGAAAAATCAAAAAAATTATAATCCTTATTCCCCGTAAAAATTCTAATTCTACAAGAAAACAAAAAAATGATTCAAACGATCAAGTTAATAATCATTTTAAATGATGAATAATAAAATTACCAAAACTAATAAAATAAAAGAAAAACCTAAATGCTAATAAAAAAATCATAATTTTTTAAAAATTTGCCCTGATTTAAACTAATTTTACCAATTATAAAATTGATACTTTAAGAAACAATATTAATACGGATTTTTGAGGTAATAACGCCTCGATTAATGTACAAAATTAAGGCCTGACAATATTAAAATCTAGGTTACATAGATTCTAGTTTATTTAAAGTTACGCTTTAGCTATATACACTAAATCCTTTCTAATAAAACGATCTAAACGTCAGAAGAAAGGACAAAAATTGTTGATGATTTGTAATGGTGCCATTTTACTGTACATCTTAATTCTAAATAAACCATTATTAATAAACCTTTATTTCTATATATTATTGATTAAAACAATGATATGCTAAAAATGTTAAAACTATGGTTGTTCCAAAACTTAAAAGAGGTTGAATTTAATATTTTAGGAAAATTATGTTATACCAAGCCAAATTTTAATATTAAAAATAACTAAAAAAATAAATTACTTGTTAAAAATATTTGATTGTTAATACGGAAATGTATTTCAAAGATAAAATATATAACTTTTCAAATAAAAAATTGGATAAAACACTTACTCTACTAATAATAAAAAAACCTACTAACTAAAAATTATTCTAACCCCTCTCAGTATATTATTACTAATATTATATTTAAAATGACCTATACCTATATAAACTATATTAATACTAAATAGAATGATAATTACACCACAAAACTTATCTACGAATAATAAAATATTTGGAATATAAAATTTACTTATTACAATATTATAAAATATAGTACGTCCAACTAGAAGAGATATCAAAATTGGAGAGGTTCGTTACTCTATGCCTTGTATTTGCTATTATTTTTTTAAATTCCTTTATAAAGTAAATTTAAACAAAGGAACAAAAATAACCATGATTTAATTACTTACATTAAATATAATCACCTGAAATTTAAAATAAAATGAATGAATTAAAAAATCATGTGTATCTTAAATAATTTTTAAAAAGTTTACCAACCTCTGTTATAAGAACAAAATTTCAACAAATAAAATAATGATTTACTAATTATAAAGGGCTGCCCGAATGTTGGTGAATCCGCCTATTTTTGTTGGGAGAAAGAGACATTATGAAAAGTACACAAGATAGAAAGAGATAGATAGTAGATTCTCAACTCCAGTCGTTTTATTGTATCGCCGCTAGTTAAATTACACTGAACCTTGTCTAGGGGGAAGACAGGTTTAGCAAAGATTATCAGTTTTATATAGTATTTTGAGTTTTCACTATCAAAAACTGTATTTATTTGGTCTTTCATCTTATCTATGCTCTCTTAAAGCGATGTTATGTCTTTAATATAATTGTGTATTAAGCTATGTACCTGACAAAATAGAACAATTTTCTTCAATGAGTAGTGCACGTATTATATAAGTTGGAAAAATCGTTGTGATTTAATATAATTTAAAAAGACGTTAAAAAATAAAAATACTTTTTTCTGTGGAATTTAGTAGTGGAAAAATAGCCAATTATACAAAAAATTGACACATTATATACCGAAGCAGTTAGATGTGTTAATTTTATAGGATTCGTCATAATTTTTTACTTATTAATTTTAACTAATAAGATTGAAATACACATTAAGCACGTTACTTTAGAAACTGTTTTTTTATATCTATTTCCTTAGACATACATTTTTTTTAATAAATATAGCCACAGAGAAATTTCTCTTAAGACCGTAAATATCGAAAATTCTGTTAAGAATTATTGTAATTTCTTTTAAGAAAATGTTTATCATAAGTTGATATTATTTTCACACTTATCTTTAATTTCTTAATCTAATTCACACAATCTTAAAGGTAATCCACAAATATTTCATTTAAAAATAAAAGAGACATAGTATAATAGCTAGTTTAAAATTAATACTGCCTCTATTTATTTCAATTTTTACACTTCATACCAAAAAATAGGTTAAACTGTTTTTAAGAAAAATAATAATTTAACAACAACATGGAAAATTAAACCGCCCATGCCTTATTTCGATTACCTTGGTACTAATTTTAAAAGAATTACAAACAGCACTGCAAATTGCTATTTTTAAAAAATTTCATACAAAGTATTATCATAAAAGTATTCAAAAGCTAAAAAAAAATGGAAGCGTCTGAATTTTTTTGGTGCGAAGTGTATATTATAAACAAAGTTTTTACTTTTAATCAGAGTTGTAATTAGTCTCCTGCATCAGTGGCTGCGTATCTTCACGTTTCTTTTCTCTATTCGTTATACCATCTAGTACACCAATTTCCGTTAACCTAAAAAAAAAACATTATGTTACAATCTTTGTCGATTAAGCAACCTGTATGTGTGTTCTAGAAAAGTTAACAATATTTAAAGTACTAAACAGCAATATTAAATGCTGTGTATATTTGTACTTAATTCTTGTACATAAGAATTAAGAACTAAGCAAAATACTTATTGCTAATACCATTAAGCAACTGCCTGACTCAACTTTTTTACATAAGTCAATCAAGCATAAAATTCCAAGTATTATGACTCATGAAAGTTGAATTTGTAACATTACATTTACAGCTAATTTGTCGAGAGTTGCACAACAAAGACATTTAAATTAATTGTTGAATACACCATACTAACATTATAAATGGGAAAGTTTAAATATATGTTCATAGATTAAATGGCTGAACAGATTTCTATGAAATTTGGTATAAATGTGGAGTGTAGTGCTTTTTAATTTTACACATAAAGAGTCGCGGGTGGAAGCTACCAATCCAATAACCCAGAAATAATCCCAACTTCTGGAAAATAATACTCATCAGCCGATCTAACCATAGAATTCTTCTGCTTTTACACCTGCATTAATACATATTGTTGTTCTTTGCATTCCCTCTATGTGTAAAACAGTGTATTTCAATATTAAGATATCAAATAAAATCACTTACACTTGCGGCTCAACATCCTCATAATTGGGTGTAAAGTATGGATTAGCGGCAGCTGGTCTGAACTTGTAACCCGTCATCACAAAGAAAACGAAAGTGGCAATTTCATGGAACATCTCATCAATCCAAGAGTATTGGAATGGAACTAAGATCTGAAAAATAAAAATACAGTGAGATACTTTATCACATGTGACTGCAAGTTTATATCATTTTTACAGTAAAACAATCATACTAATATTATAAATGTGAAAGTTTAGATGGATGGATGAATGTTTGTTAAAGTTTGTAGCTTAAACGGCTTAACGAATCATAATGAAATTTGACATATAATTAGAGGATAGTCTGGAAGAGAGCAGAGGCTACTTGGTTTTGTTTTTTCTTAATACCAAGCAGATGGAGTCGCTAGTGAAAGCTAGTATGTAATAATGTATTCGTTGTCAGCTTGTATATGTCCACACTGAAGTACTCGAGCATACTCTATGTTAAGATTGACTAGGTCTTGTAGAATATGCTGTCCCAGGGTTAACTTAACTTCATATATATTTTTGAATTGTTTTGAAGTTATAAAATAGCCAGGCATTATTTGCCTCTTGTCCTGTGTTTTAATATTAATATAGTGAAATAATAGTCAATTTCAGTTACCGTTAATACTTAAGGTAATCTTACTTGGGCAGTGTCAATAAGTAAGGTTATATAATAATTATAAGACTATAGTATTCCTTTCAAGTGATACAAGTATAATGTAATTGCAACATCAATTAAAAAAATATAAAAACCATATAACCACCTTCTTTTTAGAGGTCAGTTCAATCAATGTAATAAGAAAATTATAAAATGATGCATTTACAACCTTTTAATTTTTCTATGTCCACAGGCTTTGTCACTTCATATTTTAAGTTGTTCGCTAATGAAAAATATATTTACCTTAAGCAGTGAGACTACTATCCTTGTAAAGTATATGTAGCAAACAATCATTACATAGAAATGTCGAAACAACTTCAACTTGCGAAGATTTATAGCAGCTTTACCATCTGTACCATCTTGCAAATGACGTATTGACCTGAAAATAATATATTTAATTCTATATCCGTTTATTAATAAACAATCAAATGTTACAGAGATGAAACATACATTTAAAGTTATTAAAAAGTCGACAGCAGAATGAATATCTTTTAAAATATTCATTCTGCTGTCGACTCGGTGACTGAAACAAGAGTGCATAAAAAATCGCACGTTCGTATCGCCAAAAATGCTTACTCAGAACCCTTGCCCCTACACGGCGAGGTGGTCTGATTAATTCTCAGTACAAACTGTAATATAATCTTTAAGCAATAACAAACACTGCCATGCTACCTAACATTCATCATATTCCAAGAATTTATTTAGTAATCGCTGAGAAGTCAATTTACAGTGAATTTATTTTGAAATTGATATTGTTCAATCAATTTAATTATGAGTTTCGACTGCTGTAACACTTGTATAAAATACTAACATATGTATAAGATTTTGGTAATAATTTTGGAATAACATAACTCAAATATTTACACACATCTTTGCTTGCAGTTGTATATTTTACTTTTGAAATATCTTGTATGTATGTATGTCCATGTAAATTTTCACAATGATCAATAAAATAGTGTGTTTACGTCCTAGCTATTATTTGTAGGCAATAGTAAAAGTTTTGTTGAAATTCATCAAGAAGTATTTTAGTTTGTCGCATACAAAAATACAAATCTTCCCTTTTCATACTATTAGTATTTAGTTAAGATATACAAAACGCTTACCAGACAACAGGAAACAATATGGCACCACAGCAAAGAAGATCAACAAAAATGAATAGATACCGCCACATATTGTGCTCTGCTGCACCCTCTTCACTTTCAGCTATTATTATCTCGGCAACATTTGCAACAACCTATACAACAAAAACAAATAGTACATGATTTTACACACATTTATTGCACAGTTTTATATTAACTCAGTCATTTACAGTAGAACTAGTATATATGGATTTTTTTTATTATTATTTTTTCATTTATAAAACATTATTGTGTATATTAGGATGTTAACACTCATATTACAATTACCATTGAAATTTTATAGAAACTAAAGCATTTGCAATAAAAATTCATTAAATACTGTACCTGAAGTGGTATTACAATCATGAACAGCTTTTTGTCTCTATCAGCTAGGATATGCTTAATAAAATTCCAACCGGTGCCCACAAGAACTATTGTCACAAATAATACAGCGCCTTTTAACCTAAAAACATAATTTATGTATAAACATAACAAATTGATTAAATATTACTTATAAATATCCAAAACTTCATATAGATGGATGTTTTAATGTTTGTTACAATTTACCACTAAACAGCTAATGGTTATCAATGAAATTTGGCATAAATATAGACCAGTCTGGAAGATCACATAAACTTCTTACTTTTGTCTTTTGTACTTCTAAATAGACGATCACGGGCAAAAGCTAGTATTTAATACAAACAAAACATTATTATATTCTAAAATACTTACAAATGTGTTATATAATATAGTATCGCCCAAGTTGTTACATGTTCGCCTCTTGTTTGTATAAAATGATAGTTAATTGCATGAAAAGCCAATGAGAGTGCCTTAAGATATACTAGAACACACATTATAATGTGAATTCTGTATACACGGTGTCGACTCGTCTTCAGGATAAATGTCCAAAAGCCAGCACTCAAGAAGAAAATTACTGACATCATACTGTATAAAGCTGGTAAAGGCATTTCACCTGCTGATAGGAAGTTTCCATCGTTGCTCTCATATATTTCCAACTAAAAGAAGAAAAATGTTCAAAGTATACAACTATCTATATATAATAATAAGATTGGAGTGTCTGTTTGTAATATCAAAAGGAAAATTCCAGATTTCGGGAAGATGATGTATCTGCATTGTTGATAACGAAAATAGCATTTAAAAAATTTTTGTCTGTCTTACTGTCTGCAAGCCTTGTTTGTTCCAGGTAGTCTGCGAAACCGCTGAACCGATTTTCACGGGACTTTCACTGGAGGGTAGCTGACATGGCTAGGTATATTATAGCTACTTTTTTTAATTCCGAGCTGTCAAAATGCCGTAACGGATGGTCCCAATTTGCGCTAACAATGTTTGCGGGCGATCGCTCGTTTATAAATAAGAAAATGTAAGTATATAAAACATATTAGACACATACCATAACATTTATTGTAGGAGGATTCTCTTTACCCGGGCAGTTATGAAAATATAAATTATAAAGTCCTTCTTCTTTGTCCGATGCCACATACATAGCAAACTATGAAAACAATTAGAAATTTATAATCATACAAAAGATTGTATTTATATCTTGAGATGTAAACTCATATTACTTACACTAGTATTGTAGTAATCAAATCCTTCACGAGTTTCTTTAGTTATTGGTAGAACAGCATTTGAACACTGTGTTACATAGTTCTTATCATTTTGTTCGGCATCTAAGTAACAAAAAATCAATTGTAGTACATATTGCCATTCAAGATATTAAAAATTAATTAAACATGTATATTGAACCTTCATGAATAAATTACCTCTTTGAATACTTCTTTTTCGATTAACAAACAAATATTGTGATTGCCTTTTGGTACGATCAGTAGGTATTGCACTCCGGTTTTGATATAAATGTATAGCAGGTATTTCGCCTTTACATGAGATGTTTAACCTAATAAAATATAAAGACACATGAATGCAAATTGAATAATAATAAGGGCTTGTCTCACCAAAATGTAAATTGTATGATAACAATCTAACATGTATCATAAAATATGTGATGGAAATATCGGGTTTTATTCCCTTATCTGACGGTGACATCATTTTAAGCTATCTGATCCTGTATCAGCTAGTGATGAGACAGACCATAAATGTTTTAATCTTTTTCCACAGTAATAATTGGTTTAAAAACAATTATTTTAAACTGTACAACATTTCTATAACATCATTAATAAATTTTCAAATTACTTTCCTTTCAAACATTACAGTGCATGCTTCTCCCTACTTCAAGTTATGCCCTGTTATTACTTTGTGTGTTTGTTATCCCTCCCATATAGTTCTGGTAATTGAATATAATTTCAACAACATTATAGATTGAATAACAACAATAAGCACTCACCTAGAATTAACAAAATCCATTTTTAGGAAGACAATAGATGGATGTTTTGGTGATACAACACTATTAACACTCTCTTTGAGAAAACAAGTATCTGAATGTGCTTCTAAATATGGATTGATCGCGTCGTTTGCAGTTCTATCCAAAGTGAATCCATACTAAAAAGAATTTCCATAATGAATATCATAGAAAATATAGTAAAAGCCTATAACAAACATGTCTCTCTTAAAAATCGATAACTTACCTCTCCTAAAATAGGCTCTGAAGGTAACTTAAAATTAAGCATGCGAACATCGAGTACTCCGCCCTGAAAGAACCCGAATGTTGTAAGGTCCACATAATGGCGTTCATCATCCTGAAAACGAAGTCAATCAATAAATTACTATATGTCGCAAACAAAAATGATAATGTACTAAATTATTTATCTTACATATGACGAAAAATTACATTCGTCATTATGAAATGAAAAAGAAAATTGATCTTCGACCATATATTAAACAGTAAGATGTTTATTATGCAAAGAAATTAGTCAAATTAAATTCGTATTTTACAAGATTTACCTATATTGATATGTTACTATTACGGAACTACATGATATTCAATGCAATATGGTATTTTATAAAATATAGCATTATTTGCACTAACCAAAAGAGGCAATTTGTGTATTCTTCCATTTACATTTATCGCAGTCAATAAAATTGTTAAACAAACTATTTTCACGAAAAACATCATGTTTCATGACTATGAAGTTACAATTATAACTGATTGAAGTAACAAAGAATGTTATGGAAAAATAGATATAATTTACGTAAAATTAAATTGATTTTGATGTAAAAGGAAAACTAAAATGGCAAAAAGTCAATCGAGCAACCAAAACCAGAGAAACATAGATCAAATATTCGGTGTTGCAAGGTAGTTCTCTATCTAACGTTTAATCAGAATAATTTTTGATAATCAAATCAAAAAGCTTAAAATGATTTTCATAGCACAAAAATTCAAAACAAGCCTTTTTATTTGCTTTCGCATATGTACATGTAATTAATCATTGTTTTAAATGAAGTTGGCGTAGGTCAGTAAGGTTTAAAATGTTATCTAAATCCTTTGTACATTGGCAACACTCTCTTCGTTACGTATGTCATGCCGCGTTTCATTGATTTTTCTGTCATTTGATGTAAACAAACTTTTTATATAAGAAACAAAATGTTTTATTACAATCTTAATAAAAAAACAGGAAGCGCAAAGCAGATGTAGCTAGCGCGTACCATCCTTCGACCACATCTTCACCTTGGTCTAGGTGGGATAGTGGTCAAGCGCTGGTTTTTTTGCATTTTAAAAAATAAAAAAAGATGTATCTGTCCATTTTTACTGTTGAAACTTCGAGATGTTGAAATATGGGAAATAGTTTTAAGTTATATTACTATACATGTTATTTTCAAAAACTTGCTAAATTAAAACAACAGGTGTATATCTATATTTTTTTTATTTTTAACATTACATGAATACATTTTGTGATAAATACATTAATTAGAACATTCTAATAGGTTCCATAAATAGTATAAATGTACATTTACACAGAAATTATATATTCAATATTAAAATATCGAAAATGCTTTAGTTGTAAACTAAAGGTTTAATTTTATGTTTAAAAAAAACTAAAACCACTTTCAAAACTACATGGTTTGCACACTGATGATCTTTTCTTACTAACCTTGGTTTATCATAATTTTTGTTCCATCAGAAGTTTGGATAATTAAAACTTCACACAATTCACAACAATATTATACATAATTCTACATATTTCTTGGACAATACATAACAGTTGGTTTAAATTCTTACAGATTTAAGAACTTCGAGAAAGAAGACAAAAATAAGGCTGTGTTGATGCAGAAAGAAGATATGTTTTTTAACAATTAAGAGGATATATATTTTTTTATATTTGATGTAATATTGTTAAAGTTCAAAATACTTACTGTCATTCTATATGAACTAAAATCTACTTATATTCTAGTATTTTTAAAACCACACAGAGACTGCCAATTTGAAAGTTTAATCACTAAAATGTAATGGGGGAAAAAATCAATATTATTAAGCGTAAGATACTAAAATAATGTGGAAATTGTTCACTATCCTTGTATTATTAATTTGTTGCATTTCAATTCACAATAATTTAAATACAGAACCATCCAAATACATTACTTTTAATAATAATGTATATTTCCATTTTTTTTGTATTTAAAACATGACTCCAGATACATAGCATGATGATCATAGAATTATAGGGTAAAAATATATTGTACTCTGCTAAATACTATGTTATTGGGTATGGAAGGCGGAGAACTGCTTTTGGTGGAATTGGAGAAGTCCTATGTCCAACTTTGGGCAGATAAAGGCTTATAATAAAGTTAAATGTTAAAACAACATTTTATTACACATTAAAATTAATAAGGACAACTTTTTAATAATGCAGAATTTTACCCGACAGTATAAATGCAGTCTAAGATACATTAATGTGACAAAATTTCTTTGTCTTGAAGAGTTATAAATAACTAGAGTTATAAATAAAATAATCAACCAAAGTCATAATTTACCTTACTGTTAGAACAAATGCAATTTAATGGAATCTTATTAAGAAAATCTAAACATCTTAGATCTGTACCTATAGACACTGATATATGTTTAAGATTTTTATTTTAATCTTCACTAATTAAGTCCATAATCCTGATGAAATTATCCTCCGGCAAAGGAGTGCAGTGAGTTGCATTAAGATCATGCATGTGTTTTGAAATCTGTGGAATGTAAAACATGTCAATTCATAATATATTATTGTTACAAAGATAATATGTAATTGGTAATACCTCTTTTCATATGTATTAGTGGTTCAAGCTCAAGGGCATGCTATGGAGTGCCAACCCTCGATGCCTCATTATCCCCAATCATTGCACATAAAATTAGGTATTCACTTACCAATTTTAAAACTTTACGATCTGTTTCACTAATTTCGCCAAGTTCTAATGCAGCACGTCGTTGACTAAGTACAGTCATGTATTTGTCCAGTAACCCCAATTCTTCTTTTGATAGGTTTGGATACCTGGTTTCAATAAGCTTCTTCACAAGATTATTGCCACGGTTTGTATGTATTACTCCCTGTCTGAAAATTGCATTAACTTCATACATATTTTAAACATATGCTATATCCACCTTCTGTGTCATTTGCATATAAAAATTAAACAATTTGAGCTCTCAATTACAAAAATTGTATTTGTGTCATACCTTAAGCAAATCACTTCATCATTGGTTCGGCGTACAAGAGTTACCGGGCCTTTATATTTTCGTAGCATCTGAGAAATATTTAAGTCGGCGTAGGAACGAATTATTTCTTTGACAAGTACAGCCCAAGACCGTGGCATTTGGTTCTGAGCAATTGGCAGAATATCATCAAAGGTTGCATCCAACACCTATAGATAGATAATTTGTAAATATTGGAAATAATTACATTAATACTAAATTAAATGTATCATAATTACCAAAGCCTTGACTTCAGGATAGGTAACAGCAGCATAAGTTGCTGTATAACCCCCAATACTCCAGCCGAAAAGAACAATATCCTCAACCTTAAAGCCAAGTTCGTTTATTGCATATTGCATTACAACATCAATTGCATTTTGTTCTTGAGATGGAAATGGGGTGCCCTGTAATAATAATAAGCAACAAGATTCATGATTTCAAACATTGAACTTATATTACATTAATATTAAGATCTTTTGACTTACTGTACTTCCAGCAAATCCTGGATGATTCCAACCCAAGGTGGAATATCCAGCTCTTAATGGAGTGTACATGATACCTATCTCATAAAATCCTGAATTGCCTTCACAACATATAACCAAAGTATTTCCTCGGTTGGTACTTAGCCTGTTATCTATAAACATAGTGTCTATAAAGTTCCCTTCGGCAGTCTGCAATTTAGCTCTGACTCCATCAAACACCTCAACAAGTTGTGCTCTGCCTATTAGAAGCAATCTCCCTTTAAAAGAAAAAATATTAGTATGCAATTTGACATAAATTATATTGGTTAAATAATGTTTCTACTTACACATGGAAGTGAGGATAAGAATGAGAGTCCCTGGGTAGATAAGTCTGAGCCCAAATGTGTGTACAGCTACAAAGGCCAACATTTGAAGTGGAATTCTTCTATAAGCCGGCAAGTCAGGGTGTGAGCAACGCTCAAAAGGATTAGTCTCCAGCCAAGTAGAACTAAATAATAATATGTATTTATTAATATGCATTTTATAAATAACTAAATAATATTTGAATAAATTTTATTTACCCCTTTATCGGAGGTACGTTATATGAGACAGGCCAGTGATTGAACTCAAAATCATATTTTCTCAGGGATTGTAAGTAAGTTGAAAAGTCAGAAGTATCATCAGACAAAGTCTTTAGAAATTCAACATATTTGGGATTAGTCACTCTTCCGACTGCCCGTAAAATAAGAGACACTGTCACAAGCCAACCAAATCCGACAATTAGTGGAGCAAGAGATTGTGTCTTTTCATAGGTGTACCATCCTTTACGATAAATATACATGCAAATAAATGGTGATGCATAGAAACTGACACTTCTCATAGCATTTACCTGTAATAAAATAAAATGGTTCGCATGATATAACAACTGGGCAATTTAAGGTCCAATAAAGCAGTTATTGGAAAATTATTTTGACAATTGAATATTAACATTTACTTACAGTTTTGATAACTAAGTCACCCCACTTTTCCAGATTGTTGGGACTGTAAAGTACCTGAAAATAGGTGTTATTACATATTTTATTTATAGTGAATAAGAGACAGATAAATGTGTACTTTGCCAAACTAATCTGCTCTCACCAAAAGACAATTTTCAAAAAACATTTAGTGCGTTATACTTATTTGTTATATATAATTTGTAATAAGAGTATTACGTTTTATTTAAAAAAAAAAGTGTCGCCATCTTTATCGATTATTATGCGTAAATATCTTAGCGTCAGCGTCTTTGTATACATTCAAAAGCAATATTACTTGCAAATATACTCACATCGCAGGGGCCATCTCCGTGCTTCTTGTACAAGCGTGGAGCAAAAAGACTGCGGATAAATAGCTTCAGCATATTGTAGTCGCCAATTTGTTTGTCGCTGATTTCGTTTATTCGTTTTTTTTATAATTAAGGATTTATGCCAGACGTAGTTACCACCAAGTTTCTAGCTCAATACCTCGTAAAATATATTTTACCTCGAAAACGCCATTATCAAAAAAAAAATAAACACCGATCACCGCTTCAACCAGAAGACAGAAAATGACAGAAAATTGCAACACTCACAGATAATATATGTACAGACATCCAAAGATTATATAAAACCTCATTTCATATAACACAGACAATGAAAAAGGAAACAAATATTCGGAGTGAACACTGATATGAAATACCTATATTGACAGGCAATGCAACTGATTTTACGTGCCTATTTGATAATTTGATATGGCCATTTTGGCGCTGATGGCCGCAGTTGTTTGCGGTGAAGTCTACTTAACTGTCACCAACATAAAAATGCGTCTTAAATTCGGAACGAAGTACATACTGATATTTCTAAACGATCGCCTATCATTTATTAAATATAGCTATGAAATACATAGAAAAAGTTGCAAAAGTTATAACTGTTTGAAAAACTGGACAAACTATGAAAAAAATAGTTAATGTCAATGTCAATCAACATTACAAATTAGTTTGTTTAAAATGTTAATTAGTTTGATAAATCAAGCATATAAAGTATCGAATAAAATTTGTATGAACCTAAATGCAGTACTTAATAGACGGGTTCCATAGTGACGATCATAAGCGTAAAGCGAATAACTATTAACTATCGATATTCGGTGAATTCATAAATAATTTCGAACAAAAATTATTGTATGTATTTTATTAAATTAAGGGACTATTCTAGTAGTAATATATAATGATGGAAATGACAATAATAGTGTCGCGAAGTCATCTATTGATGAGTAGCGAAATTGTATCCGAAGAATAATCAATAATTTGAGCTGTTTCCAAAATGCTCGATCGCCGCGAGTAGAGAAAATTACATTCGCGAAAAGGTGCCTGGAATATTTGAAACGGCATCGAGAATGATCCATTATGAAATTTATGTAATTCGGACTTTCCAGAAAGTTCTGGAATAAAATGATAACTATAGAGAGTGGGGGATAGCCCCCACGCTCGTAACAATAGTAACAAATTTCAATTAGGTTATGCGCGACCGCGTTATTGTTTTGACTTTGAATAACCGAATGAAAAAACATTGTGTTTCATTTCATTTTGATCCATTATTATTACGAATACAACGATTTCAGCTTCTAGGAGAGTAAAAATCGAAAATCGTTAAGATTCATACCTGATTTGACATAACCATCCCTACTAAGTTGTCAAAAGAATTGTCTAACTAATCATCCTTATTTAGACAAACTATGAAATTTTTGCCTTAAACTATAACAGGTGGGTAAAATAAAAAACATTTACTAATTAAAGTTAAATTAGAGTTTATTTAGAGAGACATTAATTTCGAGTGTGTATTTTTATTATCTTATTAAATATCATACACACAGGACTTAACCCACAAATTATAATTTTTGCTTTTTATTTATGATAAATCAATTAGAACGATATAAAAAAATGTTAAGTTAAAAATTCAGACCTTATAAATAGAAACTCTCACAAAATGTTATGTTTAGTTTTATGTATTACAGAAGTATGAAGTAAAAAAAAATCTGATTTTATGTTATGCAATTGTTGGAGTTTTTTTATGTTGAAACCATCCAACAGCAACACTTTTAGTAAATGTTTTACATTGCCCTAATAACTTACATATTCAATTCTACAAAAATTCAATAACATCATCACCAGCTCAATATATGTCCCCACTGATGGTCTTGGAGCCTATCTGAAGTTAGGGTGACTATGCTTTAGTAAACTATGCTGGCCCTTTGTGGGTGGGTTGACTTCGCACAAATCTATGAATTTCTGATAATCTATGAATGCTGATATGTGCAGCTTGCATCACAATATTTTCCTTCACCATAAGAACATTGGGTAAATCATGTACATGTGAAATTTGGAAAATGTAAATCACATTGGTACATGGCAGAATTCAAACCTAAGACTTGCAGATTAGAAGTCAAGTGCGCAAACCCATGAGCCATTCAATAACAACATATAAGAGAGCAGGAAATGTCCCACATGTGTTAAGGTTGCACAAGAAACAAGTATAATAATATTAAATTGTTTATACATTTCAGACTATGTCACACCTTACTGATTTATTGGGAGTTGTCAAGGGACTTCGGCAAGTAGTTGAATCAGGTATTAAATTACAGCAAGAAAATTCTAGATTAGTATGGAATAATTCTAGTATTAGACCATTTTTACAGAACTGTCCTACTAATACAATAAAAAATTACAAAGCAAATGAAGTGGCTCCAAAAGATTTAATTGAGCGTGTGTTTGTTGTGGCACATGGTTTTAGAAAGTATGCTACTATGCATGTCCCTCTTGTCAGTACTAGTGTAGAAATTAAAGGTTCTATGGATGAAGAATTAAAAGATGAGATAGAGCAGTTAAATAAAGAATTTGATAAAACATTTGAAATACTGAATAAAGCAAAAGGTATGCAAGAATCTACGGAAAGGAAAGTTCTGGAATTTGAAGCACCTTTAGAGGAAATTCAAATGGAAGGTGTTGTAAAAACATCTTTGCAAGATATTAAAACAAAGCAGAAACAACAAGAGCAACTAAGAAGCCCTACTTTGGAGGAATGTTCAAGTAGAAATGTGGTTCCAAAACCAGTTGCAAAAAAGAAGCTTAAATTCACTGTGAGTCAATTTCTGCTTTGTATACTATCAGAAAAAACTAGCCGTCTTTGAACATTTAACACACTTAAGTAACAACCTGTTATAATTACTGATCATGTTAATTTTCTAAATATATACAAATTCAATTTAAATGAGAAATTTTACACATTCCACAGACTAATGGCTGAATGTTGAATATGTAAAAGTGTCTTTAATGAATAGGTTGTTTTTTCATTCCTAATTCCATTACAATTTTGATGCCTGTCATACTATAAGCAGTGATAAAAAGCTAAGTAGTTTCAGTATGTGGTTAACTATGTCATTTATAGTCTGGTTTTATTTGTTTTTGGTTTTAAATTGACATTTTAACGAGTCTATCATTATAAAGGTATAATTTGTCACATTTGTTATAATTTCTCATTTCAAATGAATTCAATGTAGATCAACAAATTCATTAGACTTGACACTTGGTCTAAGTGCATGGTTTATAATTATTGCAATTAATGTTACAGTTAAGTTCAAGTTCCAAGGAACGTGTAGTACCATCATCACGTATCGGAAGAATGTTTTCGTTTGGTTCGCTGGCAGCTGGGCTGGGAGTTGGGACGGTGGCACAGTATGCTCGGAATACATTACAATCTGTTACCGGGAAGATAGATGACTCTAGTAATGCTTTCTTGTCACCGGCTAATGCTGAGAGAATTGTTGATACATTGTGTAAAGTTAGAGGTAAGTAGATATTGCATGTAAATATATTACTGAGGACTGTTAAATTAATCTGAAGCTATATTAATAAAGTCTTTTCTCATAGGTGCAGCTTTAAAGTTAGGACAATTGTTAAGTATTCAAGATGAGACAGTAATATCTCCTGAATTCCAAAAAATCTTTGAGCGTGTACGCCAGTCTGCAGATTTCATGCCCAGTTGGCAAGTTGAGAAAGTAATGAGTTCCCAATTAGGCGGTGATTGGCGTGCTCGTCTGCAGCATTTTGAAGACAAACCATTCGCAGCAGCATCTATTGGTAATTTTAACATTGATATTTAATATTACCATCTCAATAAATACCTCATTATAAATTAACAGTGGTAGTGCCCGCTGTTTCGCCTGATGAGTGTGGTGCCGGATCCTAATTTAAGTCCCTTTCTCTTTACCACCCTTTTCTTATTAGAGGATGGGAATGGGAAGTGGATTTGACGATGGAGGAGATGCATAGGAAGAGAAAATATCCTCTTTATGTGCGTCTCCTCCTCCATCGGATAAGGGAAGGCGACGCATCTGCAATTACAGATGTCTATGGGCAGCGGTCGCTTCGCCATTTTGGCGGATTCAGGTGGCCGCTTGCTCGTTTGCCATCTTATATTATATAAAAAAAAAGTAGCTGTAAAATAAAGTAATTGAGATTTGTTCTTAATGTGATAATCTATTTAAATGTATTTATTCTTTTAACCTGTTTAAATTTTGGAAAATTATTTCTTCTATTACACATATTGTTGTGTTTTAAGGGCAAGTTCATTTAGCTGTACTACACAATGGTCAAGAAGTGGCAATGAAAGTTCAGTATCCTGGTGTTGCTAAGGGCATCAATAGTGATATTGATAATTTAGTTGGAGTATTAAAGGTGTGGAATGTCTTCCCGAAGGGCATGTTTATTGATAATATAGTTGAAGTTGCTAAAAAGGAATTGTCTTGGGAAGTTGATTATGTCCGGGAGGCGGAATGTACAAAGAAGTTCAAACGACTCCTTGCACCATACCCCGAATACTTTGTTCCAGATGTTATAGGTAATAATTGAAGATGTACATATTTTATTTCTGAAAATGCTTGAATTTATATATGTTGTATGTAATACTTATACTACTTTTTTCTCTCTTCTATATCTCTACTCTAATATCGTAAAGATGAAAAATCAATGCTTTTGTTAGTTTGTAACAAATAAACTCAAAAACTTTAGAACTGATTTAAAACATTCTAACACTGTTAGAACAGCTCATTATTGCATAGTTACATAGGCTATATTCAATATAGTTGTGTTATTAATTTATTAAAAACTAGCTGTTGCTCGCGACTCCATCATCATCATCTCAAATAGTCAATATTACAACATAGCCTATGTTCTCAACATAAATGCTACACAAATAAACTCTACTTTATTGTTTACGTACAGTAAATAAACATTTTATTTGTAAATATTAAAATGCAAATGGCAAAATGACAACGAACGTCTTTGTCTCTTTTTGGCTTTATGATAACCTCTATAGTGCTATTGGCTTGTAGTCCCTGTTCCGCATGACGATTTTTCAATTTATTTACCACCTAAGTGTAATATCTTGAAAATATATAGCCTGAAGCGTGTATTAAATATAAGGTTTTTTAACAAAAAGAGAATTATTCAAAACTACCATTTGTTGTGATTGCTGACATCTTACGTAACTAAGTAGTGTGTGTTAAATATTTATTGTAAGTATAAAGTATGCTATGATTTTCTTTTCCTTTCTTTTTTAGAGGATCTATGTACAGCGGAAGTAATAACAACAGAATTAATTGAGGGAACGCCATTAGATAAATTGTTCGACGCTCCGTATGAGATTCGTTATGATATAGCAAGGAAAATAATGCAATTGTGTTTACGTGAAATGTTTGTGTTACGTTGTATGCAGACTGATCCCAACTGGGCGAATTTCTTCTACAATACAACAACTAAACAGGTACTCCATATCTATTTATAGTAAAATAATAAAATGTTAACATATTGTTATGTAGATAGTCAGCAATCGCGGCACATTCTTGTATAATTATTTTTAATAAAAAAAATACACTTCGACACGATACGTGGTGTATATATTTTTGAGTAAATTGAAAAAAAAAAACATTTCATGATGTGAGAAAGGGGCAAAACCTGCAAGCCAGCAAAACAGTACTTGTAAACAATAAAGAAATATATATCGATGTATTTACAATATCTAGATTACAGTATAAGACAGATTATTACAATAAAAAGATTTTTAAACTGCTATAAAAATCAATAATAATTTTGTATATTGTGTTAAAACACTATTTTTCATGTAATTTTAGGTTATTTTATTGGATTTTGGTGCGACTCGAGAGTATTCCAAGGAGTTTATGGATCAGTACATTGAAATTATAAAAGCCGCTTCAGAGGGCGATCGCGCCGCCATCTTGCGGATGTCGCGAGATATGAAGTTCCTTACGGGCTACGAATCAAAAGTAAGACAAAAGTTTCTGTGCCTTTTTTTAGATATCTAATAAAATTATATAAACGCTAATTAATATGAGATAATATTAGGTAATAATTCTCTCTTCATACATACTTAAGTAAGTAAGAACTTTTCTACTGCCGAAATGTACACAAAAGCATATCTCCGCTTTTATCATTTTTTATAAAAAAAAAACGTACAGTAGAAATATAAATTTGATTCTTATCTATACTTAAATAGTATTACGAAGAGGAAAGATTTGTATTTTTGTATGTGTTGAAATAACTCATAAACTACTGGGTAATTTATCTGTGAGTATAGGCCATATTTTATAATTTTTCTTGTTCTTGTTCTTTAACTATCTTATGTTTTTCAAATCTCTAATCGGTTTTCATTTTTTGCGGTTATTGTTTGAGAGATTTTTACCATTTTTCAGATAATGGAGGAATCCCACGTCGATACTGTTATGATAATGGGTGAAGTGTTCACTAGTGAAGGCAACGGAGAGTTCGACTTCGGTACACAGAAGACAACCAGACGTATACAAGATCTAGTACCGACGATACTTACACATAGACTGTGCCCGCCGCCAGAAGAAATATATTCCTTACATAGAAAATTATCAGGCGTATTCTTACTCTGCTCAAAACTTAAAATAAAAATGAATTGCCGAGATATGTTCCGTGAAATTTACGATCAGTACAAAATGAATATTACCGATTAGTAATAAATTGAACTCTATTAAATATAACTATGCAATTACGTAATAATATATGATTTCATGATATTTATAAAAGTTCATTGGGTCAGATTGACGTATCAACTGATTTGAACGTCAGATTTTTAATATGTGCAAAATTTTAACCGCTTATTTTTAATGATTTATCGTTATGTTTTTATGATTAAAAACCATTATGTTGTATTAAACATTAAATGTCACATTTTTAACATTTATTAAATTCAAAAATAAAGTTGTTATTTAAATTAATTACTATCTATGTTTTAAAATATGAAATAAACCTAACTCTGCGTGAACAATGTCAATTATTAATAATTTTTAATTAACAATCAAATTTAACAATATACACATTACGTTATTTAATTATGTATTTGTAGTTAAATTTCAAATATTCTAAATATAACAAATTAAATTTAGTTTTTAAACTACACAGTGGTATGATTTATAATTCCCTAATTTTCCATTAAAATGTTAGAAATCAATATAAATTCAAAGATGTTCGCGTCATTATTGAAACATTTCCACATAATTAAACGTTTTACTATACAGTATTGGAGAAAAATACTGCTTTAAATTATTTTCATCCAAAATCAAGCATAAAAAAAAACCATTTGAAATAACCGTATTGATAGTTTCCCTGCTCTCTTTTCCTAGACATTATGACGGTTTACCATACAATACGAAAGTTTAGATGGATGGATGTTTATTAGTTTGTAGTCTAAACTGCTGAACGGATCTCGATGAAATTTCTCAGATACAGAGGATAGTTTGAAAGAACAAAGGCTACTTCTCTTACCACACGGACAAGTCACGGGCGAAACCTATTTTCAATACAAATAATAAGTCTGCAGATATGCTGAGCATTAGACAGGTATCAAGGTAATATAAGGAAATTCGAAAATAAAACACCAATTTGAGTGTGTATTTATATATTTAAGCATTGTTCAGCACTCCGGCTAAAGTGACTAATATTACATTTCCAATAAATTCAGAGAAAAAGCAACGTTTTAATATGATAACAATTCTAGGTGAAGTAATATCATATCACAAACTACTCCAGTTTGAATTTAGTTATTTAGACAACTTTCAGTGCACTATTAGATACAGTGATTGTAGATATTATGTTCTACAGAGTGCTACAATCCTCTCAGAGAGAAAATAATTAGTTGAATCATTAAAAACATCGAAATACGTTTACAAATTACAATATCATCCTTATAATTGTGAAGAATTAATGAAATAATTTCGCAGCATTATTTAAGCTGATGGATAAATCTCTACTTCTAATTACAAACTCTTTATAATCATTACTAAAACATCGAAAAGCTTAAAAACATTTTCTACAATCAATTTTCACGTGTTTAATTATTTAAAACTGCAAAGAATATGTTTTATAAGGATAAGTATATTTGAATAATGTTGATACAGTTAATAAGTTAATGATTATGAAATTGGATAATATAAATAAGTCGTTTAATAACATTTTAAAAAAATAATCTTGAAAATTAGTTGCGGATTTCCTGCGTGAGCGCTACAAAAATCTACAAATTGTGGACGCTGTGTGTGCGATTCTAATGCTACGGGATTGCCCCGTGATCGTTACGGCACGCCATATGATCGCTACAGCACGCCATAGAATCGCTACGGCACGTCATATGATCGCTACAGCACGCCATAGAATCGCTACGGCACGTCATATTACCGCTACGGCACGCCATTCTATCGCTACGGCGCGCCATATGATCGCTACGATATGTTAGGTTAGCTATTTGGCTCTAAATCAGCGCGGTTCTCTCCTTTTTAGTTTTAACCCCTTGAAGTTGCAACAAAATAGTTTACTTATTTACTTAATTATACTTTCTTCAAGCTTAACATATTATACTATATGAGTGTATTATTTTATGATATCGATTTGTGCGTGGTACACTTAAAAAATTATAAGCAAAATTATTTTTTTGCCAATACATATGAACGAAAATTAATTTATAAACCAAAAAAAATATTCTAAATCTACCACAACCATTACGACATAACCAAATAATACTGAGGTAATTAATAATAAAAAATACTATAAATTAAAGGATTTAATTATAAGAACGTTGACATACGAAATGTTTATAACAGAAGAATATCAAATGATTTTTATATAGAGTTTCAGTTTATAGTGTCCAGTTATTATGAGCTACAAGTAGGTGGAGCTACGAGACAATACATGATATCCAATAAAGCCTTGGTCGAAGCGTAGCAATAATTATAACATCAATTTGCACTTTACCTTCATAGACAGTAATTTGCCACGATGACATAGTTATTAAATGATCAATAATGAATATTCTACCTCTACTGATTAAACAATTAACGTAACAGATTCTAACGTGTAATTTCATAATTGTGTCTACAATAAAATTTTACTATTTCTATAACACAACATTGAATATATTATTAAGCGAAATTCATTTAACTACTACAGTGATAATAGAGAAAAGATTATAAACAAATAATTGAAATACTTTGAAGTATTATGGACCCGCGGTAATAGGTTTAAATTCATTTAATAGTTATAAAATAATCTATACTGTTAGAAAACAATGAAAATTAAATATAACAATATCCCTCCAATAGCTTAAGGATCGTGTGTAAATATTTTGAGAAAAATATTATAAAATTGTTAAAACGTATTATATGATTTAAAGATGAAGCAGAAACGAGAAGGTAGTAACACCCTGTATATTCTTAAGATTATTTGAAATTGAACATTTTAACCACGAATTGTCCACCTCCTCCTTCACCTACACTATCCAGCGATAATATTCAACAACCTTACTTTCCTAAACCAAACTTTTGCGCTTTGGTTATATCTTAACGGCTTCGTAATAAGTTTAAAAACATCCAGATTTCTCCTTGAACGATCTACGTTAAGTTCTTTACTATATGTTATTAATTTAAAAACATAATATCTCTACAGTACTCATAATCGGTATACGACCATCGTTTATGATGCAGTTAACAGTAAATAATACCTGATTACAACCGAAGTGCTTTTTATCATGTCTCAATGTATTACTCGTGCGCAGAAGCTTTGCCGATTGCCACATGAGGCTATGACGTCATGCCGCGACGTTATGACGTCACGCGTTAACTGATGGTAGATTAGACGAGCGCTGCACGCTGTCGATATTAATGAAAGAAGTCATCTGCTAACCTTCTGAGCGCTGATCAAAGATTTTACCGTGTTAATTATTTTTTCTTAAAATGGATTTGTCTTGCATAAATGATGAACATATTGATTTAGATGTTATATTAAACTAACGTCGAACGTTTTAAAAAGTTAAAATAAAATGAAAGACTGTTGTTGTTTTTTGCCTGAGTATTTTTAGGTTACTTAAAATTTAAAACTATTATTTTATGCTACGAAAAGTCAACACACTTCTTCCTCTATTCTTCCAAAAGGTTGGAATAGTACTCTTTTATACTATGAAAAGTTATAATTAGAATTAAAAAAAAACTGTAAATTTCTATTGAAATCATCAAGATATAAGACAAGGCGCTATATCTACCTTTATAACACTATCATGCCATCTATTTAACATTCCTTATACGTGCTGTACCAGCGAACTAGAAATTAGTAAATAAATATTTATTTATATACATTATCTCTACTTTACGACCGCTTCTCACTGCAAACGTCTATTCGTTAAGTAGTTAAGATTATTGACTTATTTAGTTGTTAGGCCACTGTAGGCAAGTGTATAACGTAACAGATACATAAAATCTTAAAAAAAACCTATAGGTTTGAAGATGAAAATATGGTTATTTAAGTAACCAGTACAATAATTAGAAAGTATTCATATAATTTTAAACTGACACAGAATAATATATTAAAAGGAAAAAAATTAAACAAACCTCACAAATATGATTAGATAAAAAAACTGAACAAATACTGCGGAGCAAAATGCGAGTTTGATACTTTTTTAAATACAATGTTCTTAAAGTATAATTGTTACAAAAGATAGACGCATAGACATTATTATACGTCATTTAATCAGACCATAGATTATTTAAGTGACGTAATTAGCTCGACAGAATTTATAGAAATACTAAAGAATTAAGGACATCGTAGAAATTCCGGTTTTAAACAATGTTTTAAAAAATTTATGTAATATATAGTAATTATTATTTTCTGTTTATCTAATTAACTAGGCCTAAGGAATATCATTAATAAACATATTTCAATTGAAAAAGTTGTAAGATCGTAATAACTCGCGATGCCCTTAACTTACAAAAGGTAGTAAATATCTATATTCAATATAATATTCAAACTATTAATACTTCAAATATTCAACATAGTAGTTATTTTTCTATTAGTACTATTGTCAAATGTTAAAGGTAATTTAGCTACTTATTAATTTCAGTATAAAAGTTCGTAAATAGCTTAATGTTAAGCTTATTTAACATAATCAAATATTTGTTAATGCACCACTACCGGGTAGATTCAGAGACCTTACAAAAGGCATGCGATGAGAAACGGTCTAATTCTGTAAACAATCGAGGAGTGACCAACTGGTGTGTGCCAACTGTATCATACTTATTCAGGCCTATCCAATCCCTTAGTATAGTATTAAAGATTTATATTTAAGTAGGTCATAGTTTGGTTCCCAAGGGAACTAAAAAAAAGTTGGGGATAAAGAAATTAAAATGTGAAAGTACTCATAAGTTTCAATACTTTCTCTTATAGAATACTTTTTTAAACATTTTCATATAGGTAAATCATATTTTGCGCGATGTATTTTATTGATAGAGATCATAAAGATATCAAATATAGTACTCATTAGATATAACGAGTATCGTATAAAAGTGTTAGTTGAATTGTTGAGGGAATGATCGCATAGCATCGTAAAAAAAAACCGACGGGTCAGTAACATTGCTTACGGAGCTTAGAGTTAGAATAAGAAGTTTCAGTCAGCGGAGACTTTAGATCTAAGCGTTAGACTCCTTTAGGTCGGTGAGCCTCGCGAGTTGTGCGGGTTCCAGTTCGTCGGGGATGGAGGCTCGACCAGCGCGCGGGGCCGCGGGTGGCGACTGCGGTGCGGTGGGGGGACCGGAGGCTACGGAGGCGCCGGTAGACTCACCCTCGGACGCAGTGGAGCTGGATGCGGGTTGGGGGGCGGAGTGTGCCGTGCCGTCGCCGGAGTCTCGCAGGCACACGGCCGTTTGCTCCGAGAGCGACGACTCTTCGTCATCGTTCTCGTCTTGCTGGGGTTGGGGCTCCTGTTCTGGCGGTGGGAACGGCTGGTCAGGCTCCTCGACCATGGGAGTGGCGGCCGTGATTACTATCTGCGCCACTCCGAGGCCGCAGCCGCTGCCGCTGGCTTCAACAATCAGAGGCGCAGGTTTGGGCTGGGGCGGGGGCGGGGGCGGCGGTTGGGGCTGCACTTCTTCTTCCTATTATCATAACACATATTTATAAACAGGACGCATAGGTATTTTTTTCCATAGATGATAGTAAATTTTGTGCCACACCATAGAAACGGGGAGTCAATAATATTTTAAAGGATAACTAAATTTAAAAAATAGTTAAATATTATAATAGCTATAAAACTATTCGATTTAATATTTTATAATGATATGTGCATGCATTAATCATGCAAAATGGAAAGCCATGAAAGAACTAACAATGGTTATATGGATTGTGAGATTTCTCTTTAAAATGTAAGAAAAAAATTAATTTTCTTACTCTTATAGTTACAAAAAAAACTAAAAATTGTCGAATTCACTATAAGTACGTAATATAATTTTATAGAATATATTTATTTAAATAGCCACGTCTTTTAATATTTTTTCTTTAGCTTTAGCAAAGCTTATTGCATATATATATATAGATACAACATAGTTATTCAAGTGCCAAATGTTGTAAGTAATTTCAAAGCTATTGGTAGGCTGGTGGCTGTTACGTTTAGAAATGTCATTAAGGAAAAGTTGATTACATTTTGTTGCAAAGATTCAGACAGTTCCCGTGTAACATCTGGCACTGTTAAGTCTAGCAGCGAGTGCCAAGTAAAAGAAACATTGAAAAACAATCGCTGCAAGAAATAAAAGCATGCCTAATATGTATTTTGTAGCAAAATTTATAAACAAAAAAGCAAACCTCATCCTCAAAATTATCACCGACAACTTCATCGACTGGTGCATGAAAAGAATTCGGATATAATTAATATTACGATATAAAACAATTTGTGTACAGTCGCCTTCATTGGTGGTATTCAAGTTACTTTAAAATAATCTTGCAACTAGCAATTACCTTAAACTTCACTTGTGTGTTTTGTTCGAATTCAACACAATTGACCGTTAATTCCACTGGACCATTGAATGTTTTATATAGTCTGTAATGCCTACTTATGTATGTTTTACAATATTTTCCGATCGTTATCATTCCAAGGTCTTGTACTTGAAAAGATTATAGTTCTATAAGTGGAATACCATCAATGAAGTCCACTGTACTCGTACGTATCACCTCACACTATCATCTAGCTGAAATCAAGCGGAGATAATAAGCATTATCCACTTTTCACTGAACTTACGAGATCAATTCTCTATGGCTGAGCTTGTTACACTGTACAGTACCACAAACATTTTCAATTTTTTAAATGCAATTATTTATAGAGCATTGTATTTTCAGTATGCAATAAAACAATAATTAAAATTATCGCGTAGTACAGGTACACATAAAAATAGTTTTGTATTTTTTTTATTGTGAAAATTGTATCTTCTCATATTTTATGATTATACATTGAAGTCGTTTATTATAATTGCAATACATATTTTCCATTATAGATACTTACCGACTATGGTGACAGCGGGGGTGACCTGAGCAATATCTGCTTCGTCGAATTGCAAGTCGTATTGTTCGTGTTGGTTCCTACTTAGCTCTAAATTAAAGCTGAAGTCTGGCTGACTATCCATTGAGTCGCCGAGGTCGGCTGGCGGGGGCGGCGGGGGACCGGCCGGCGGAGCAGCGCTCTTGCTATTGTTGTTATCCGTCATGACAACTAGCGGCGTCCAGGGATAGGGTACATATATTTCAACCACAAAAACATCCTAATAATATTGAAACAACGCAAAACTTCTCTATAGTCAACAAACCTGATGTTTTACAATAAAACTTTCATATAGTTACATCAAGACTGAAATCCTCTGGGTTTTCTTTTAAATATTATATATCGTGATAATAAATACCTATATGTTAACTAAAGAGATTTAGTTTTGTTTAGTTTTGTTTCGCTGTGTTATGGGTATACATACATTTAGAGCTGGAAGACAGATTTAGGTGGCAGGAAGTCATTGAAATATCAGACGGAAAACTAGAAGGTATAAACACAAGGAAGTTTGACATAGAATAAAAAAATTTGGTATTCAAAAACACATCATCTTGCAATTTAGATTAAATCTTTAATACACCTTCTGTCGTGCAAAAAATTTAGCTGTATACACATAATTTATTTATATTTCATGACATTTCTTATTATTGTACTTCAATATTAATTACCGCTACTGCAAAATCGTGCAAAATTAAACAATAACTTATTCATGCAAATATGACAATGTAGATGACCTATGATTTTCAGCGCCGTATTACCTATCGATTTCTACCGACAAAATACCATGCCAATTGGGGATTAAAACGACAACTATTTACCCAATCAGCCAAAAAGCTATCTATCGCGTAATTAATTGCACAATATTCCGCTACAATGTGTTTAACATTACAATAAAAGAAGACTGTCACATCTACGACACAAACATTTACCGTTCGAACGGGAACAACAATGATTTACATCAACACAATCGATCAAGTAATAGTAGACTGAAAGAGCAAGAGAGACAGTTGTTTCTGTGCGAGCGGTGGCAGAAACGAAAATAAATTCAGAGGAAGTAAAAAAGTTTTCGTACCCTCATCGTCATAGCCAGCTTCGGGAGTCTTCGGTGGGGATGCAAAAACAGGCGGGGCAGAGCTTGGCGGAGTCCAATCTTCGCCAGTACTCAACGGATCGCCATTCTAGTTACAATTTAAAACAATGTAGCCGACGACAGTAGATTATTTTAATTTAAAATAAAACGACGACGAAGGTTATTTAACAGTTTTAAGTATTTCATACATAGAATAATAACTTATTAAAACTACCTATGATATATCACGTTTCGCTAAACTTTACCTCATCGCACTCTTCGACAATAAGCGAGGGGAAATTGCCGACAGCACCGTTGACTTCTCCGCGCCACCAACCGTCGTCCACGTCATGAGCCTCGCGGGAGACAATACGAATTATCTGTTCAGAAATAAAATTATTTTGGAAAGAATAAAAAGCAATTCAGTTATTAACCAGTGGTGTATAATAGTTTCATCCGATTTAGTCAAACGTGGTACGAATTAGTTTGACTTTAACCATTACTCAGAATCAAACTATTTTCTGTCTGCGCGTAATACTACGAAGATTAAGGTTTTATTCTAATTATTTTACGTGAAATTTTAATAACTTCGTCTTTTTCATCAAGAATTATTTCAAGCGTAGGATTTAGCTTCCAAACATCATTTGCTTTGACTGGAAGTTAATTAAATTTAAATTTTCCATAACTTGCTAATTAGGACTATTTCGTACTGGGTATTTATATAATCTCTACGTTTTGTGCTTTAAGCAATTATTATAATTAAATTTTTACCTGTCCCTCCTCAAGATTGAGTTCATCAGATGCTTCTGCGTCATAATCGTAAAGAGCAAAGCAATAACCGAGGGTTGGTAACTGTTCTGGTGGCAGTGCCACGGCCTTAGGAGCTTCTTCGACCTTCGCTTCCTCGGGCTTGGCGGTCGGAGCAGAAATCACTGAAATTTGATCTGGCGAGACCACCACATCGGCATCTTCTCCTTCCACGGTATAATCCACAGAAGAAAAGGAAATCTGAGCAACAAGTCCTGGTGTACTCGAAGGCTAAAGGACAACACATAATTTTATTAATAATTTTACTTCAGACTTTCATTCTCAGGAATGTACAAACTGCATGTTACTACCTGCTCCCTTTCGACATCAAGATAGTTATGGGGAACGTAGCCTTCTTCCCCGCGGTAGTTCCTAGCACGGAGCCAACCGTCACCATCACCTTCTCCTACCACTTCCAGTTGTTCATTTTCAATAATGGACAATTCGTCCGGATTTTGAGCCTAAAATTTTTAAAATTTGTATATTTTTCAAATTGTGTCTGTTCAGTAGTTGGATTTTTTGAGCTATAGAACTTACTGTGTAAGAGTACAAAGCAGTACACTTGTACAGTGGGGCTGCGGGTGCCTCAGTAGTAGTAGTTTCTGAAGCGACCGGTTCTGGTTCCGGCTCGTCCCAATTAACTTGGGTTGGGTCATCCCAGCCAACGGTCAACTGCTCAATACGCATACGTTCCTCTTCCAAATCAGCTATAGACGAAACAAAAATAAATATTTTCCTATTAGTATACTATTAATAGTAATTTACTCGATCGTTATGTATTTATGTTCAGAAATATCGGTACCATCAACTTCTTCGTCTTGCTCATCCTCGTTCTGAGAATCGGATGTGGTACGCTGGTGTCCACTTGTTCCAACTGTAGCAGCGCCAGAGGTTCCTGCTTCTCCATCTGTATTATCGCTATCATAGAACGAATCCGAGCTAGGTTGATCCTGCACGAAGTACGTAGTTATTTAGTAAACGTTAAAACAGAATACGCAATAGACAAAGGATATGCAGTACGTACAGCTGCACCCGAGGCATCGGTACGAACGCTGAGTAGACTGCTACTACGCGGCAGTGTATCTTGTACTGCCAACAGATCAATCTCCTTGAGCCACTCATCTACGGGCGCACCGCCAGTCCTCAAGCACTCCAGTCTAGCCTCATATTTGGCGCGCGATGTCTCAGAACGACGAATGTTTGATCGTAGCTCATCCATACGTACTTCTAGTTCCGGTCCATTGGGATCGTTAGGGTCAACCTGGTTGAAATTGATAGCATTTAATTAGCAATAATGTTAATGTTAGGTCAATAAAATACTGACTTCATAATTGAATCTTACTTTCTGTCCTGCATCACGCATGGCTTGGTATAGATGTAGTTTGCGGGTTGCATCTCTTACAAGAGCAGTTTCCCGAACTACACGGGTCGCCCAACGGCGAGCTTCTTGCGCAAGAGTCTGCGACACTGTTTCATGCTCCATAGTCACGGTGTCAATGGGATCGTTATCGCATGGCTCAAACTCATACTAGAAAAACGTTTGAAACAATAAAAATTAAAAATGCAGTTGCAATTATCCGTAAAAAATATCCGTAGAGGTTTTTATACATTTATTAGACTAAATTGTACACTGTTGCTCTATGATTGTGTAAATTACAACACGCGGGAAAATGCATATGTTAAAATGTTCGATATTTACTTATAATTATTTTTCATTAATGATACAGGATTGAATCCTTAGACATCGATTTATAGATTTGCCAATGGCGACCGAATGTGTTGGAATATGAGTCACACCAAGCGGAATCCTAGAGCTACAATTACTTATATTATATAACGTTTATACCAAGGCGTTATTTAGGTATAGAAGTTAATACTAATGCACGGTGAATCGTTTATTTTTTATGCCGTTACATTTCAAATCTAGTAGGTAATGAATCTTGAATATATTATGATGTATTTAGTGAAAACTTCTTACCTGAATGTGCTGCTTAAGCACGGGATAGTACAGGTAAAGACATTGCAGGTTGTACTCCCTAGTCAACTGTTGGGCTTGATCCCTAATTTTACCAAAAGAGTGCTGAGTAGCAGAACAAGTCAAGAGCTCAGTACGTCCCATCAGAGTAAGAAACTCGGATACTTTTTCATACACTGAAGCTTCCATATTTTGCATGCAAGTTTGAAGTTCCACCAGAAAGTAACGGTTCTGAAAAGATCTTTTTTGTGTAATAATTGAATTCATTAAAATTTGGATTTTTTTCTTTAATTATTTTACCTGGTGAGCGTTAGCTGCTGAAAGGCTCAACAAGTAGTCATTTCTCGCTCCAGTTGATTTCTCCTCGAGTTGGTCGCGACGAGATGAAACTTTAGCGCTGTTTTTCTGAAGGGATGTAATCGATTGGAAAAACGAACCCTTCTTCTTCTTCAGTCTAAAGTTAAAAAGTTATCCGTATTTAATGATTTTAAAACATTTTTGAGATTATAAAAAAATCTTTCGTAAAATACATATAGTGGCAAATTTATATTAGGTTAACTGTGTGGGATTCGATGAGTTAAACTTTGGAGAATGTATCATGTTAGCGAAATATTCAGGCAATAATTGAATCCGGGCTGGTTAGCCAGGATCGGGAGACTGTAACTACGTTATTGAATTTGTGAATCGATAACGATTATGCTTTTAACTAGTTATACTTTTAGTTTACTGATTTAAATGTCATTATTTAACGAAGAATTTGTAGTCATCAGTTTATGTATAGATGATGCTGTTTTGTTTACTCTGAGTACATAGTGACTAATTTTTTTTTAAAGATGCAAGGATTACATAAACTAATAATATCAGTAACGAGACAATAACACACTTAAGAGTCTTTAACTATTTTCAACGTTGTAACATGAAAGGTTAAGCTCGATAGTGTAGCAGTTAAGAAAATATTAAAGTGCCTGTAGTTAGAAACAGTGTAGAGAAACATTGTTTTGCTTATGAATTTTGTAATCTTCGCGAACTTTCACTTACCGCGCGCTCATATTAAATATTAAGATGGTTCCGTCGACATGCTTACATATTTTATAACAAGCAACTTGTTGAATAGTATTAAGTTTTTAATTCTCTTTATGAAAGAAACATTAAGACTTTTGAAGCTTGAAGTAAGCTTAACTATAAATTCATCAAGTTAATAACTAGAATTTCCTTCGTAACTAAAGCTAAAGCTCTGAAGCTTTAATAACTCAAAGGTCTTGGCGACGCGATGTTAGAACTTGATGTCAATCTCAATTAACAGATTAAAGCCACGAGACGGCAGCGCCGGCAGCTATTGCATGAATAATCCGGCTTTGCCACGATTGTAACTCGATCTCACAGAATTCTGGCTTGTACGAGATATATTATTACATTTTGACCAGTGACCGACAGATATGGACGAACGTTCGTTCCAATATCTGGTAACATTCAATTCTATGTGCTAATGTTTACGACTTATTTTCTTTTCCGAAAATACTAAATACTGTAATCAAAGACACATATCTTTTTAAAATATTTTCAATACTTTGGTGAAAACTTGAATCTCAAACGTGTTTTTTATTTTAGCAGGTGACAATGCGTAATCGTTATGAAAGTCGAGTATCCCATTTCCATTGATGCGTCCGCCGAGAGCTAAACGCCAAATATGAAGGAGTTGGGTAAGGTTTGATTTAATGCACTTACTTTTCTTCGATATCCTTGGCCTTGTCGCGCACATCGTGGGCTGTGTGCTCCTCGTCGAAGTACAGCTTCTTGGTCTTGTCCACGTCGAGTACGCTCATCTGCAGCTCCTTGTGCGCTTGGGCCAGCAAATCGGTGCTCTAGTAAAAATATAATCATATTAATATCTAATGGATTTGTCGGGCGAGAGGTAAGGAATCATATGTACATCTTAGCACGGTTTATACAATGATTGCTAGTTCCCAGCTTGAACTATTGTAACCAAGAATTGGTTAAGAAAAAAGAATATTGCTTTTTTTATATGATAGGATCATTTAATTCGTTTTTATTAGTGATTTAATAAGTAGTTATACCAGGGCAAGAAAATATCTTGGTTATTTTTTGTAAAAAATTGCGATACCCAGTAAATTAAGTCATTTAATTTGCGTTCCTTTGAATGTTCCGTTCAAACAAGTTCACCTCTAAGTTAATCAAGTACGGCGTCAATTCGTTTAGTGAATTCACAGTGACCAGCGCTCGACCAGAGGGAGGTAAATTTGCATTGGTGTGGAGCGCCCGCCTCATAGAACGCCGGGACATGCAACGTGGAGCGTTAATTAATCACGTTAGAGGCTGTCGGTGAAAACTAAATTGACACTTCCATTACTCTTTTCGCTTAGCGTTTGTTACCGAACAATGTTACCGGACACAATATCTAACTCAAATTCTATTGTTTAAAATGTTTTAACTATTATCACATTTTATAAATGTTGTACTATTTAAGACAATTATTTATGTTGTCGGTTCTAGAAGTCGGTAACTATTGCTTAAAGCGACCATCTATTGCAGCTAATTTTAGTGATAAACTTTTAGCTGTGATTTATAATTGTATATTGGTTTACCGATAACTTCTGTCGAATTATTTTCGTAGAACCTTCGTAGCGTGTTTGTAGATATATCGGAACTGATCTTAAAGATTAATTCCGATGCAACAAACGTGTTGCTACGTAAGTCTGTCCACCGTAGCGTAGGAACATTGTAAGGTTTTAATCTCTGCAACTTCGATATGATCCGGCCTGGTAGTGTGTTGAGCACGGAATATACAAAGACCCGATAGAACTCTAACCCTACTGTTGACTAGAAACTGATTGAAACGTCTACGATTGATAAAGAATTACTAATAAGTATAGAATTTTTTTAAATATTTTTCTCCAGGTTGGTCGGAATAAGTCTATGCAGAGGAAAACAATTGTAAAATAGAAACTTGTCAGCGAAAAATATTTCACTATACGTTTTGCTTGTGACAAAGAGCCGTGTAACCAAACCAATTTAAACTCGTTTGAGTATTCAAAGGATAGTACCGTAGAGAAAAATGTGTCGGAAGCGAACCATTTATATCGCAAACCCGCATGTCAAAGGGATGCTTATCTTGGCAAAATGTTGTAACAAGTTATAAAATGTATAGGAAGGTCATGCGTTAGTTTGAAAAAAAGTAACAATAGAGTAATAATATGAGTAGTAATAGTTAAAAACATAGAATTAAATTAAAGTTTTCTTGTGTAACTACGCTTTGTTTCCGTACGTTTTTGAGTTCGCGGAAAAAGACAGTTTTGCTATAGTAACTTTCTTTTTTTTCGCTTAAGTTGATTTAACTTAGAGAGCATTAATTTATTTTATCCATGGCATAATTAGATTTTTACAATGTCTTCATTTATATTTTATTTACTAACGACAAGTGTTAACTACTTATCGCTCGTGACTCCGCGCGGAATAAAAAACGTTTAGTAACTTATATGTTCTTCTAGACTACACTTTACATCTATGCCAAATTAATTGGAGATTCGTTCAGCCATTCCAACCTTCCAACAAACATACAAACTTTCGAATTTACAGTACTAGTAAAATCCATGTAGCTTTAGAAAAGTTAGACAGTGTGTCGTCAAATGGAAATAATCTGTATTCACAACAGTGAATAGAAAATAAAGGAATTTATTTTATTTTTGCTAACTCTTCGTGTAAAATACGAGTTGTTGGTAACCTTCAAGATGTTTGTCGAGCAGCTGAGTGCGATTGCAACGTGCATTAAAAAGGATATGATAAACGAGCCCCAGTTAAGGTCATTCGTATATTTTCGACGATAACGCTAAACCTCCTGCCAAGTCTGAATACTTTCTTTTCTTTTTAAACATTCTCTTTTATTTATTCTTACACTAATGACAATCGCTTTTAAATGTATATATAGTATTATTATTTCTCTCCGTAAAAGTCTTTAATTATATATTCGAAAAAAAATATAAATAAACATTGGTTTTATTATAAAACGTTTTGATTAATCTTCATAAATAATGCAAAGACATACTTTTACATACAGTTTATGTAAAATGATAATAGAGTTAAACGCAGAGCAAAGTGATATTACACATTCTCGTATTCAGGTGGACATGAATAAAATATATGTACGTATATACTGTTTAATTAACCTTAATTGGGTACTTAATAAAGAGACTATTATAACATATTTATCATTCTTTTTTATACTGGATATTTTAATCTTTTAAATAATGTTAAACTAAGGAAGCAAACACATTGAGCGCTTCATGTGTTAACTTTTATGAATATTTTGTCTATGATGAGACCAATGTAAACACTATCCTCCTTGCAAAGGCCCGCACAAAGTGAAGAAACATTCTAAAAGAGAAATAAAAAAAAGGTCGTTACCTGAATGAATTACAAAGGTTCATAGAAAGAGCTACTAGTTACTTCTACTAGTACAGGGAAGGTAATCATCATGATGCAGCCTGTATATCAAGAAATTTTAAAGATATGATTGAAGTCAAATAACCTTATCAGGGCCAGTGTTGTTGACTAACATCTGTAAGATTTAGGTTATTAGTTTGTTACCTTCTTGGCAACGTTCATCTTATGCTGACGCAGGAACTTGGCCTCGTCTGCGATCTGCTGCTGGAACACCTCACAAGCGGCGAGGCGGGCGCGAGCCAACTTCTCGTTCTCTTCCAGCACCGTGCGCCACACGTTCCACATGTTCCTGTCCAACAATCCTTTTACATTCAATCCTCGATATTTTTATACAGTTTATACATATGCCCCAAATAGACTATGGCATCCCTTTTTCAAAGTCGCTTACTTGTCACGTATAAAAGGTCCGCTGGGAAACTATGTTTAACTTTGTTTGGCCAAGATTTGCGAATTTAAGAAAAATCGAAAACAAAAGTGTGAAATAATCTGTTTGCTATCTAATGATTTGACAAACTTACGATGTTTGACACACAGTTTGATTGTAGGCAGTCCGTTTTAGAGCTTTCAATCAATATTGCCATTCAATTTGTGCTATTGTCTAAACATTTTGCAGCAATGTTTTTATGCATTTATTGCAATTAAACCTTAGTTTAATATTAATCGTTTTAAAAATATCGTTAACTCGCAACTAATCAAAGCTTAGTAAAAATATTTATTATTAGACAGTTACACAAAAGGTTAATTCGTTAAATTTAACTAAACTTTATTTGGTACAATCCGATGAGCTCGTCGTCCTATTGACCTAATAAACAGTTCTCCCTCATCTGCTTTATACTTTTTGAAAATAGACAAATGTAGAGATTTACTTTCAAATAGCCAGAGCATCTACTTAATACATTTCTACCATTTTATTTGTATACTATTTCGAGTAATGTTTAAAGATAAATGTTTTATTAGTTTATAAAAAAAATGGTGTCTTTCATTTCGCAGATTGCTATTAAAGTAAAAAAATACAAGTCATTTTTGAAGATATAGTTATTACAAAAACCAAAAATGTTTAACATTCGCAACGATCGCCAAATCTGATAGATGATAATTCCCTGCCTTCACGTTGACATTTTGCCATCGTTAACTTTCTGGCCATACAATACCGCTCAAAATTCATCATAAAGAACTTTCCATAAACTTTCCAAAGTATAATAAAAGTCAAAGAAATAAAAGAATGGAAAAATAAAAGTATCAAATAGATTCTATGCTAATTAGAATATTAGATTAATTTTCTTTTTGAAACACTATATCTCTAACATAGGCTTTGTTAAATTTTACGTCAAGTCTTATTATTTTTTTCCATCGCGAGAACTTTAGTAGATTATTGTATAAATTGAGTAGCACAACACTAGAAGCAATGCCTTTCTGACCCATTGTATCCAGGCTTTAATGTAACAAATGGCGGGTCGATTAGGTGTGACGCGAAAAAGACAATAATAGCATTACAGATTTCAAGGCGCTTTATGTGAAAATTATAACATTCCTTTCACGTTTAAAGTACACGTAAAAGCAATGTTTACAACAATGTTTGTTTCAAGTGTAAAATTTAGTCGACACAATAAATTTTAGTAGGCGATTGAGTTTGGGAAGGTTTAGTTTCATAATAAATCGATTCGTTCGGTTGTAAGATCAAATTAAGAACTTGCGATTTATTGGAGTTTAATGAACATCTTCATGCATCACTACAGTTTAAAAGTTATTAATAACGATGTGCCCGCTCGAAAATATAATATGCATTTTTTTAGTTTTATAACTCTTTGAAATAATTTATTATTTGTATCACTTAAGACTGAAAGAACTCTTAGGTATTCATCAGTAAGTACATTTTTAATGAATTTATTCTATTCATGTACCAGCTCGTAATATTACGATGTAGGCAAAGCACTTACTTTCAAATTCGTACAAACAATAATAACAAGCACACCGTGATTGTAATACAGTATGTACATATATCATAAGCTCGGAAAGTTAGAATTTCGCTTCGCAGAAGTCGACAAAAGCAAGTTGCATTTGCCTAATAATATTTGAATACCAAAAAGCAGTCGCTCTGCGGCAATGTGCATACAAATTCGTAAGGCAAAAGTAAACTATCCTTCTACATTTTCTGAAAGACCGAACGAAAACTTTCTCGTTTGAGAAGCAAAGCATGTTTACAGTTTACAGGCATGGAGCCTGGCTATTTGATAAAATGTATCAACAAATTAAAAAAAAAACTTAGACTTCCAAAACACTCTAAAAGTCAAGAGACAAGTCTGACGTTGAAAGAGCTTAGTGTACATTTGCTTTACTGAAATATCGTTGCGAAGGTATTTTCCTGTTAAGTGCAATGAGTATAAAAAAAGAAAGATAGGATGTTTTAGTTACTTGCAAACAGTTAAAATATGTGGTTTTATACGTTAAATTTACCTATCTATTTTCGACGCTGGGAAGCGTACCGAAAGGGGAGGTTCGACATAATCAATACCTTAATAAAGCTAATCTATTCTTGAGTAAGAAGCTTATTATAATAACTAAAGCAGAACCCTAGTGTATATTTCTTATACTAAATCTAAAGTAACTACGGGATTTAAGTACACAACTGTATATACTAAGAATTTCCTCTTTTTTATTTCAATTCTATACATTAATAATGGCATGTCAAAAGTGTCAGCTATCAGAATCTATCTGAAGATAGCTTAAGCAACAAAAATGCTGTCATTGTTGTATTAAGAAATAAATGTATTAACTAACATCACTACTAAGGTAAATTAAATAAATAAGCGCTAGAATGCTACCAAAAAAAAATAAACACAATTTAAAACAAGAGTTTCGCAATAACTAAACGGACATAATCTAATGCGTGAATTACTCAGCATTAATAGATAATATATGCTCTGAATATTTTAATATTTTCCACCTTGATTATCATACATGAAGGGCCATTGAACAATATGTTACCGTCGGCCCCAATTCTTCCACTTCGATGTCACTACATATCGCAACTGACGGCTACTTTCTAATATGCAAATATTTATCTTACGCGAAAACACCCACAGAGCCTCGATGTATAAATATGTATGGGAAATTAGATTTTCTATTCATCGGATAATTGTGTATGGTAAAATTGAGATTATGTTATTTATGATTATGTTATTATTGAGTTTTGTTATGAGACACAACATTAATTACTTTCTGTTAATTTATGCTATACATTACATACATTTCCTCATCTCCCCTACCTTATCCAACTCCCTTAGATCGGAAGTGATGGTGATACCGTGGGTTTTCGTCCTACAAATAACTCTATCATCCTTCATCACAGTCACCACTCATTTGCTATTGCTATGTATCATGAATACGAAAACTTCTCACACCACGCCTTTTATTATTGGACTAGCTGCATCAACGGCTCCGTCCGTAATTTTAAAAAAAGTTAAAAAATAGTCTTAAAGTGCATCTAAACCAAGATTCATCTAAATCCATAAAGTCGTTGTAAAGATACCTAACATCAAACCCTCAAACATTCCAATTTGTGATATTAATCAATCAGTTTGTAATTTAACAAATCGCACTCTATATTTATAGATTTAAATTGTTACTTAGTTATTATTATTATATATTATCTTAGTTATTACATCGATAAAATCAAATACTAATTCAGTCTTCATTCCTTTTTTACTACAATCATTAATTACGCGTTAATAATCACTACATCCAATTAGCGCAAGGAAGAATACACATTTTTTATAAATGTGCACAAATGTTTGTACCAAATTGTATGTAATAAGGTTTGAAGTGTCAAACTACTTAATTTCTATAAAACACTTTCGTTTCTGAAGATAACATCTTTGTGAATAGAATCGGTAATAGACTTACTGACTTTGGTCTCCTAAAGAGGTCAACGAAGTGACCTAATACTTTTCTAGACATCACAGGAGTAATACAGAAAGCTAAATTGAGAATTTTAGCAGATTGAATAGAATATAAAGAGAAAAGATTTATTTGACCTTTACTTTATATAAAATTGGAAACCTATTAGATATTTATAATCTTTACTAATACGGTCACTAGAAACCAGTGTTTGGGGCACCTGAATTAAGCCAATATCTTTATTCTTGTTACGACTGTCGCCCTGTTTTCCAAGAGATCAATTTTTTATCTTCCAAATTATCATTATTTGTGAATAACTGCGACAGAAAAAGGTACCTGGAGCCGAGATTTTTTGTCGGTTTTTAATTGCGCCGGAAAACTTTTAAATATAAACAATTAATGTTCTAATGAAGGTAACATTTTAATTTTATGTAGTGAGTTTCTTACTTAGGATTGAAAAATCGGTAAATGATGGTTTTGACCTACCTCATGTTTTAATATCTAACGCACAGCTCTATATCTAAAGTTTATGCGTAAACAGAATTAAGGAAGTAATCAAGTACATACCATTTTTCTTCGGCACCATCGACCTTGATATCGGGGATGTTCGGTATTTTCTTATTCAGGTAAGCCGAAGATATCTTCAATAGAGCCTGTTAACAAAACATGTATATTAGGAAAAAATAATCATAATAAACCTTTCGCCTTAAAATACTTTTATATTTTGGCACAATATTTACTGCTGGCCCGCCTGAAAGATTCATCTTTGAATATTATTTATTATTGTTTATGCGATTGCATATTGAAAGAGTAACCGACAAAAACACAGTTAGGATTCAATTTAGTCTCAGAACTGATTTAGTAATGCAGTCTATTTCAATTTGCCAAATCTAAATATGATATGAGAATGGATGTGATAAAGTAGGTGAAGGTTTTTCGTTTATTTCTGTAATATTACCGACGTATAAATGTGTATTTTATTCATTCGATATTCCCTATCAAATTCAATTTAACACGTTCACTGCGTAACAGGCCGATATCGGCCTGCCGCGGCAGTGCGGACGAAGAAAACTATGTCCCTCTTGCTAGTTCGAAACGATTACCTCAGTATTATCTCATTATAAAACGTATTCATTATGTTTCCACAGAGTTATAAAAATTTAATCCGTCTTAGTGCTGGTAGGTCTAGAAAGACCTGCCAAGCTCTAGCGGAAATATTATTGGAGGCACATTTTGGCCCGCCACCGCACTAGATGTAGAATTATTATTTTACTCGCCGCAATAAACGTGTTAAATGTACTATAAATGTACAACTCTGCAAAATTACAGATTAATATTATAGATGTGAAAATTGCTTTGATTGTAAGAACACGTTGTTAAACTGCAATTATTGTAGCGAATACTACTTTACCGTGAGAAAGCTACATCATGAAAAAATTGCACAGTTTATTTTAATTACAACATACAAATATTTTATTCAAAACACCAAAGCTTGGGAAGAAACATATGTTGAATTTGTTATTTTCATTCTATCATTATCCCCCACATTCTTATCGAAAAAATCAGAGATAGCAATATACTTACAAGTATAGATACTTACTTACAAAAATAGATTTAATAGGTATTCATGCTTACTTATATTGTTTAATCAAATTAAAACAAACCAATCTAAACAATTTTACCTTGAAAGTACTATAATCACAGACTTAAAAGAGACATACGAGTATTTGTATCATGAAATGTAATAAATCTTTAGACAATAAATGACATTGTCAGCTAGTAAAATATATAATTTATCATTTTCATTGAATTCGACTAGACTTAGATAATACTTTACGATAGGGACTTTACTCACTTTATTTCACACTGTAATTATTACTTGAAACTTGTTACAAAATTAGTTGTTGTCGTAAAACTTATTAAAGTTTGAGGAAATGGGTAATGATCGTAATACATAATTTATGTTGGTGTCTTCCCACACTTCGTAGTGAGAAAACTTGCACAAAAAACACATGTGATAATTAAACTTAAATATCCGACTGAAGCCATAGTTTTAACGACACTGCAACACTGAAAGTTTAATTTTACCAGCGCTGTTCTGTTATGATTAACAGTGGCAGAACTCGTATTAACAGTTTCGCACGAATGGTTCGGCTTGCCCGGTACATGTTCACCAACACACAGAATAGAGGCGTGAAGTTGTGGCGTTGTCGTGGAGGAAGCCGAGTTTCAATCCTCTTTTCTTTCCACCTTTTCCTTATAAGGAAAGGATGAGAAGGGAGAATAGATTTGACGGTGAAAGAGACGTACAGGAAGTGGAAATATGTACTCTCTTTATGTCCGCCATTTCTTCCGTCAATTAAGGGTAGGCAATTCGCCTGCGAATACGGATGTCTATGGTCAGAGGTCAGTAAATTCAGGTAGATGATCGCCCGTTTGCCTTCCTTTATTATAAAAAATCTCTTAGATGTTAATTTTTAACTAACTGAATTAACCGGTTACTAAGCATGAAGCGAATAGGGAAAGGAAAGAAATGATTTCGAGTACTCTTTTGTACGTTGCTAGTTTTGTGAGTAGATTAGTGAGAACGATGGCAGTTTTATTAAAAGAATTCTACTTTGTATACAGTACTCTTATTCCGCTACTACGGATGAAGTCGAGAATACACGGGAGATGTTATTGTGAGCTGTGTAGCCTCGCGCTGTAACCCTGAAAGGTTGGTGCAACTATTGTTCTTATCTTGGCGTTAACGTTTAAATATTAACAGTTAAAAAAATACGCAATTTCATACTTCGTCAAATTAACAGTTACATAGTACACACACTAGTAGTTATTACTCGAACAGGCTTAAATTTTGACTATAGCGAAATATAACTTTTCATATCCATCTCAAATGTTTAAAAAAGTTGACATGTAATGTAATTCTGAAAATGTATGCTATATGTATGTATAATGCGATACGCTAGATTTTGAGATTTTCTTAATTACTTTCACCTCGTGCTCGTGTATGAAAAAGAAATTGTGAATGTAAAAATATGCAACTTACTATGATACACAGACGAAATAATTAACCGACATGAATATCCATTATGAATAGACTCGAAGCTTTTGTAGCGTATACGAGGTTTCTATGTGAGTTTCAAGATGAGATCAAAGCAAACATGAAGTTAAAATTCATTCACACCGCACACATATGTAGGTAGGAATTACTTTATTTAGTACTAAATTAATATAATAACATTATAATTAACAAATTAAGTTTCTACTGAACATGTAGTAGATATACAATTCGTCTAGTTTTCGATATACAGCAGATGCCACACGGACTTTGCGCTACGATTTCAGAGCGGGACACATTGGTTATGCTGGGAAAAACAATTGTTTGTTCATATCGACCCAGACCGAATACATACATAGATTACTACTACGCACATAAGAATTCATCCATTTTAAACCTTACAATAGATGATTTTAGGGTGGCTAAGTGCCAATTGCACTTAACCTCTTAGAAGTCGTAGTGTACCTCAAGGATCGAATAGTCGCTTCGCTCATTATGTCACGATTTTTAGAAATATTCCTAGCTCATTGTATCACTAGATTACATGTCCGAGAAACCGAGTATTTATTTATACACGAGATGTCAATGATCAAACCAGAAGCAAATATAAATTGAAATTATCAAAACCTAGAACAAACTATGGTCAAAACACTATAACATTTGCGGGAGTACAGTTATATAATACTTTACCTAAAGTTATCAGAGACGAAAATAAAATGTCGTTATTTAAAATTAAATTAAAAAATTTTGTAAAGAAAATAAAATCCTAATATAAATGATAATAAACTAGACTACTGATGTAAATTGTAAATGTAAAAAAAAAATGTTTCTCGTTAAGCGAATTGTATATTCTTAGAGACATAAATATCTTAAACCACCATATCGCCGCAAAGTTCATTAGCGCGGAATTAAACTACCTTCCAGTCAAAGTCCGTCATAATTGGCCAAGCAGTTTCAGAGCTTACCAGAAACAACGGCTTGCGGACAGACAAACAAACAAGCATTTCACAAATGCGATTTTCATTATTAGCAACGCAAATACATCATCTTCGCGAAATTTGGATTTTTTTTCGACATTACGTACAGACACTACAATTTTATTATATGTATATTGGTTGTTCATGCTATTGTAACTTAGGAAAATCAAATAGGTCAGCTTAAAAGTATTAGCAATGTACATAGTTTTTTGGTGCTATACCAATTTACCGTTTGAAATAGTCGACAACTTTGGAAACTATAAGGTTATTACTAGAATTGTTAAATTATCCAAAAGAAAGATTAAACATGAATAAAAAACAATTAAGTCAATAGTGAGAAACAATCTTGCTTTGTATACATTTTTTCCGAACTGAATGAATGAAATAAAATCTACATTGAAGAATGAAAATTGTGTTCAATTAAATCTTATTTCTTTTTTCGTCTTAACAAACTCAATGTAATTGAGATTGATCGTAGTTTCCATTAAGACGAAGGGTGTTCAATTCCCGGTAACAGTCCTTAATTGACGTCCGTCGTTGAACTGATACTTAATTATCCAATAAAAACAATATAAACTAAAGGTGCTCTAACTAAGGAGAATTCTAATTGAAATGGTTACTTTATATCCGAATTTAAAAATATGTACTTTATTGTCGCATTGAATTTTTACACATTCTTTTCCCGAGCGGTTTCATCCGCATTATATTATAAAACCTTTATTCAATTCTTTAAACTCCGTAAACCTTTCATTAGCAGATGTAAAAATTCAAATGATCAAATGACAGTAAAGGCCCTTGCTAAGAATTTAAATAACCACTGTAACTATGATTCTTTTCTTCTATTGTCTTTTATTTTTGTCCCTTTCTCGCAAGGGTTTTTTTTTCAATTCACTCATGCATGACAATAAAGCGTGTTGTAAGTGTAAGGTCTTTTAATAAAACAAATACAACATTGCTGTGTGATTCCTGACATCCATCATAACAAAGTGTGTGTACGTTTTATTATAGTACCTAAAGGTAGATTTGGACAAACTTCTGATAGTTCGATTCATGTTCCAATTAATGATAACTCTCAATGGAACACTGTGTCAGAATATACATATAATCCTCTCAGATAGCGAAGATACTCGTATGTCTGAAGCCTACAGAAAGGTTAATAAACGGGATTTCCGGTTTCGGCTTTCAATTTACTTCGTGAGCTTATAATATCGATTCAACAGACTGTATTCAATCTCACATAATATTTGCATGAAAATGCAATGAAAGATTTATGCTATGTATAAAATAAACTCAAAAACTACTGGGCGAATCAAAACATCTTTTGATTATCACTCTATATTATCACTGAGCAAGATTTGGCTAATATTTATACTAGAACTTTGGTTTAATTCTTCACGGATAAAGTCGCGAGCACCATCCAGTTATTAATTATAAACAATAAATAACAATTAAATTCACACGTAAAAAAATAACGCCATTTAGAAAAAATAACCTTTACCCAAATAGAAAGTTTAGATGGATGGATGTTTGTTTGTAAGAGTTTGTAGTCTAAACGGCTAAACGGAAATTTGGTATAAACATAGAGGATAGTCTGGAAGAACACATAGG